TTTCTGGGAGCCAAGGAAACAGTATCATCTTCCACCAGGAAGTCTAGGAGTCTAGGAGGTCTGGGAAGATCCTGTGAAGGATCCTGATACAGACCCCTAGACTCCATTAGGGCAAGCCTGTTACCAAACTCAATAAATTTGGCATTAACAGCTCCCAAAAAGAGAATGATTCTGAAGACGGCTTTCCATTGAACCCCTGACCAGACTGACTGAGCCGAATACGGAACGGATCAAAGGGCTAACGATAAGGAGGCAAGTTTGGCATACCCATAGGCATGGAAGGTAGGCAAAATTCATAGGGCACCTAGTCCTGGAAAAGGGGTCACTCCTGATACCAGCGGGAAGAGTCTCCTGCATACTTGTTGTGCAAGAACCAGGAGACATTGTTATCTCAACAGGCCTAGTTATGGTATGAGATACCCTGCTAGGCCTAGATAACCTCAACTGACTAGCACCAGAAGTGAAGGGCTAAGTCCTTGCATGGTCTGGGTCCTGTTCCAGAATCACACTAGAAACACCAGGGATATACTGAGAGTCCATACCTGTATCCTTAAACTCATCAGAATGAGTGGCCGAACGCCAAGGGGACATCAAACCACCAGCTGTGTGTGTGTCACTTACCTCTTGCGTTGACGATATTGGTGTTCTATCAACCATTATTCAGATAAATTAAATTAAATTATATTACCTTTATTAAACAAATTAATATTACAAAATAATTAATAACTATAATTTTTCTATTAAGGAAACGTGGTTTTGAAAAAACGTTTTCCTTCTCAGAGAAAGCGTGCAGCAAACACCATGGAACCGGAAAAATGACGAAGGTTTAGGACGCGCATGCGTCAGGTGCGAGAGGTTGTCAAATAGGTATGGTTCTTTTTTCTGACTGTATTCCGGTTGAATAATGCAGCGAGTGGACTAATATCTAAATTTATGAAGGTGAAGTATTTAATGTGATAAAAGTTTATATTTATACTAGGGATGTCAACTCGGTGAACAATTACTAATCGAGTACTCGTTGGTTTTATCGAGCGATACTCGAGAACTCGCTCGGGAATATATCTACAACACAGAAACACGTATTTTACATTCTGTGGTTCGTTATTCAACGGACGAAAAACCATCTACATAAGAAAATGGGACAAGGAGTTACACACCATAATTAATAGCTCATTAGCTACAAGTACCAATTAAGTAAACCAACAATAATCTAATCAAATAATTAAATGAGCACCTATTTAGAAATCACGAGGAAAACCCATATCAAACAATAGTATTTGGTAATCGTTAAGAAAACACATTTACTGCTTACAAAGGCGTAAGGATTAGAAGTTTAACTATTCACTGAGGGTCACCAGAGGATGCAACGAATTTATTCTATTTGGAAATATTATCTTGTCAACTATTATTAGGGACAGTCGGTTTTGCAACTTTGTAAATTACAGTCTTTCAGACGAAAATGTTTTCTCTGACGATACCGATGTGACGGAATGGCTAAGACATGTTTAGCCCAGGTATAGCCAACGTATTTTCGGAGGCATTTTAAATGATAATTTAGCGCAAGCATTTGAAACAAAATGTATTTATTTACTAGTATGATTATTGAATGATGCCTATTTAATTTTCCGAAAGAAGTTCTCAAGAATATCAATTTTATATCAAGAAGACAGCAACATTCTAACAGGAAACCGATTAGTCGAGTATCGTTTTCGTATTCGATACTCGGTACTACCGAGCGATACTCGAATACTCGAGTACTCGTTGACATCTCTAATTTATACAGAGTGTTTATAATTTAGGTCAGATCGATTGCATTTTTACTTGTAGTGTGAACGCAGTGGTTCAGGTTAGATCGATACAGATCGTTAGGAGTAAAAATAATTTGAACGCTAACTGGTTTTATTTAGATCGATTCAAATCTAGGTCGATTAAAAAAATGCTAGAGTGAACGGGGTCTTTGGAAATTCAAACGGACCTTATCCCGACGTCAACACTGAATGGGAGTACACCGAGTAGACTGCAAATATACATGTTCAAAAATCGAGATGACATATTCTTAAAATTGTAAAAAACAACCAATAGTAAAAATCATTTATCGAATAAGCTAATTTGTAAATATTTTTATCTTTAATTATCCAACCTGCACAGACACAACGTTTTAAATCGTTATATCCACGTAAAGTATTATTTCTATATTGAAAGTTTACGTGACAAGAGCAGACCGGCGTACGCGAAAGCTACGATGTGGAAAATAGTTGTATATTTGGAAATTGAAACATTCTTAGGACTATGTGGAACACTCCGAAAATTGGTGACGTGAAAGAGATTCACATTTTGCATGTACATGTATTTTTTTCTATTTTTTTTATATCAATGTGCCGAATTAGAATAAAACATTGAAACTTTTGAGAATATATTTTTTTTTATTTCAGTTTCACAAACTTCTCATGTAAATATCTCAATAAATAACGAACATAAAACATATATGTATTTGCATGAAATTTTCTAATAACACAATTTAACAAATACTTTCTTTAATAAAATATACGATTGTTCTATAGGAATAACTTTTAATCAGTATCGTCACCGGCATTGTTTTACTGTTGATTTTGTCGACTTTTTATACGAATAGTAACTTTTCTATTGTTCTTGAGTCACCGGATTTGTCACTGATTAATTGTTGTGGAGAGTTATTGAAAAGGTCTAATTGTAATTAAATTTAAACCTTCTTCGCACTCAAAAAAAAAGACATGAATTCAAAATTACCACACATCAGTAATCTTTAAAAAACCTTAACACAATTACACAGTAGGTATATAGTTCTGCTGGGTATTTCGAGCTTAACCAGATGTTTTTGTTATAACAAATATGTTTACAAACATTTTTTTTTCGGGGGGGGGGGGGGGGGGGAGGGGTCGTAAGAAGTGAAACCGACGCTTGTATATTAAATAATAATATTAAATATGTTTTTTGTTATGCACGTTTCAACAATACAATACATTACTATGAGCTATCAAGTAAAATATGCAATTACAATGTTTCTATGTGCTGTTTGTATTCGTAAATATAAAACTAAGTCCTTTTTATACACAGTCCGATGCAAAACGATCAGTGGAAATGCATTTTTGAATCCATAGATACATTCTTATCACAAGAATTCCTACATTTTATCATTGCTATAAAAGTATATTTTACGAATAAATAACATTTATGTATGTCCGGAGTTTAGGTTTTCTGGAGTGGAGTTTGAATAATCAAAATTCATTTGTGTTTTTATGCATTTACGTTTAAAAAATAACATAAATACAAAGCAATAACAAATTAGTTACTAGTATTTTTAACGATTATGATACATGTCAGTACACATTTCATAAAAAATAGTCGTTCATTCCTATAGGTCGTTTTGTGTCACATCTATATATAGAATGGTGCAACATACCCGCTTTCGCTATCCTTATACGGATGTTGTCTGTGAAAGGCGATGATGTCATTGACATGTTTCTTGTGTTGATATTACATAACAGTTACCTGCACGTTCTACTTGAGAAATATTAGATGTATTTTATCCTATCACAGGTCAAATAGATGTCCTCTTTCTGAACATAAATTAAACGATGTTTATCTGCGGAACTCATCGCCTAAATTAACACGTGTGGTGCTTATATTTATGCATTTTACTTTTGCGCACCGTGCAGCATTTTATTTGCATCAGTTTACAGGTAAACATATTCGAAACATAAGTTTTATGTGATTCAATGTGCATGATTACTGCTTATATCCCTTCCGATTGTCATCTGTTACCTGTTCATGACATGGCGTTGGGAGTAATAGATTATTTTCATATTACCGACTTTTGACTCCGGATTATATATATTTTTCGACAGGTTACCTACTTTGTGGTAGTTTAGTCTGGTACTCAGTCAGGTAAGAGCAATCAAAAGAAGTAAAATTAAACATATAATCGGTGCAATTTAGGGGGAAAGTTTGCTGTTTTCCGATGATTTTGTCGTCTAATGAAAACATGAAACAGTATGTTTTTCCAAAAAAATATACCGATTGTTAACTTTAATTTACTTCTTTAAGTTGCTCTTACTTGGCCAAGTACCAGAATGTCCTACCACTGATTAGGTAACCTGTCGAAAAAAGATTAATTCCGGGGCCGAAAGTCGGTAATATGAAAAAAAGTCTATTACGTGCAGGGTGTGTTTTTATAAGTCATCAAACTATTTACACCAAAGCGCACAATAGAACTTTAACTTTTTGATGCAATAAAGTTTAACATCATTGACGACATATGTACATTATTTTCTAGATTTTGGATATTTCAGTTTTACACGGAAAAATCTACACACTGTTTACCACAAAAGAGACGATTGTTCGTTCCCTATTGTTAATTTTTCTTTTTTGGACAATTCTTTTGACTTCTTCTAATATGCTGTGTGTATTTCCAAACTCCTCCGTTATGTCCATATCTATAGTGACGTTTAAGATTCCATAAACACATAAATCTATGCATAACCAGTGAATCATCAAGTCAGGCATTTTGCTACAAGCAATTACTTAAAACCATTCCTAAATCTTTTCATAGATACACACAATTAGTTAGGAAGTATTAACCTTATTACAAACCAAATATCACATCGTAATTTTTTATAAATAAAATGGTTTATTTGTCATTTCAGGGCCTTTTATAGCTGACTAGGCGGTATGGGTTTTGCTCATTGTTGAAGGCTGTACGGTGACCTGTAGTTGTTAACTACAATGTCACTTATTAGTCTCTGGTGGAGAGTTGTCTCTTTGGCAATTATACTACATCTTTTTATTTTTTATAATATAATTTTGACAATCATAGATAAATAGTCTCGAAAAATAGACCGATTTACGCGAAGAAAACACGACCCAACATAACACTGTGCCTACAGTGAATAATAAGTAAACATAATTTTCTGAAAGTCGTAACTTCTGCGCAATTAATGATTTAAAACAATTATATACAAGTAAGGTAAACCTTCAGAAAATATCCATAGTGTGAAAGAATTTAAATATGACATAAATTTATACCGTACAAAATGCAAGGAACGGAAATGTAAGTGGAATATCATAATTGTATTATATTATAATTATCAATGAACTTACTTTTAATTAAAAAAAAAATAATTTTAAGGTTTCAGCCGAGTTTGACAATAACATTTTATTTAAATCAGTATTCAATTGTATCCAAGTTTGTTTGTTAAAATTTGATATTGGTATTATATCAGTATACGTTAATACTAGTTTTATCATTAATCTTGTTAAACTTTAGTATTAGATTATGGACTTGGGGTATCACTGAAGAGACATTAATTGTCGAAATGCGCGTCTGGTGCAGTAAAATTGGTACCGTTAATGTTATAAAAGGGGATTTTGCAGAAAATGTTCTGTCGTGTGGTGCAAATCTACATGTATCATCGACTATTAAAAAATATCCTTCCAAAAGAAATAAACTACGTATTATACTTAGATTTGCAAAATATTTGAATCATGTTGGTAATACGATCCGTGTAAACTCATTGGTCCTTTGAATGAACGTATTCTTAAATGTTTTCAATTTAACACCGTTCTAAGTTATTTTAATATTGTATTAATCGGCACTCATATTTAATTTGTTTTCTTATGGTGTGAATCTTTCCCAACTCGTTCGCTATGCCGTGTTTGTAGTGAGGTTTTGGGTTTCAATGAACTAAATTATATAACTTGTATGACTGATAAATTATTAAGTCAGAGAATTAGTTAAAATACTTAAAAGCCTTTAACAAATTCTTTCATAGATACAAATATTTGGTTTCGAGCTCTGCTGTTCCTGTAGATTACTTATTACAAATAGGATATAACATATTTATTTTAATGGTGATGTTGTTTACAAAGCACGTAAATTCAGATACAATCAATATTAAATCATTAATTCTTTAAATATTATTATTCTTAAAGGATATCAGTTTAACATCCTAGTAATATCTTTGAATATTGTTCTTATCGATTCTATCACTGATACTATTTTTGATAAATGCAAACATAACTATCTTATGGTCCTACATTCTGTCGATTCAATGTACAGTGACTTATCATTTGGCATCGTACAAGGTCGTGCTTTTCTCATATTGTGTATGGCGTTTTTGCACTAACTCAGTTGAATACGTACTGATCGATAATGTAGTCCATGGAAACATGGTTTATTTATTATTAGTTGCACAAGTGGCTTTGAACTAGCTTTCAGTACCTGCGAATACTCTTAAGCTAAGATCGATACTTTGCGGCTTTAGCCTTTATTATAAGAAGCTTTTGTTCTGGCATTGTACCAATCTGATGAGTCAAGCCGATATATTTTTGATCTACACTACATAAAATAATTCTGTTAATAATATATTATTAAGATGAACGATAAATTATTAATTAAGTCGATTTTTTTTAATATATGAAAGACAAAAGAATAAAATATGTATTTGAAAATTCAAGCAGGGCCTATTTTACAGGTAAATTCGTGTCATATTCATCTGCAATTACGTGTATTAATCAATAACCATAAGTAAAATTTAGTTACAATTATCAGTAATATCAGTAATTTGCTTGAGTATTAAAACAAGAAGATGTGGCATGATTGCCAATGAGACAACTCCCCAACAGAGAGAAAAGCAATAAACAAAATTGCATAACTCTTACTTGAGCTTGTTGTCTTGACATGTTTAACAGGAGTCTGTATAAGGAAAAAAATATTGAAAATGAGACCAGAAAAAAATATTTGACTAGCTAAAGAAATTGGTCACAGCATCAACGTACTTTGATTTACAATTTGTTCTTATGGTGTGCAGTAACACTATTGTTCCAGTTTAGAGGGTAGGCTTTGCACTCATAAACATGTTTAACACCGCAACATTCTTTATGTGACCGTCTCAAGTCAGAACCTGTTATTCATTTGTTGTTCTTGGCTGCTGTCTGAATATTTTCTTTTGTTTCATTGTTTATCATTTACCAGGCAGTTGTTTATCTCGTTTGAATTAATTCAAAGTGTATCATTTTGAGCCTTTTATAGTTGACTATGCAATATGGGATTTTCTGTTCAATATCGAAGTCTGTAGGGTGACTTATAGTCAATAAAATCAACACCATTACAACTCCCGTTGGTAGGAACATTAGCTGTCTCATTGGCAACCATACAACATAATTCTCCTTTTTTATAACAACCATATGACACAGCTATTGACAAAATGTCGCATTAGCTCTGATAGCCCAATATAAAAAGCGGTAGACCTTTATGACAGGAATGGCGTATTCAATGTCTTCCATAAACTATGTTTATTTATATCATATTGGATGAAACCTACGACAGCCAGATGCAAACTTTTATTCTGATCTAATAATTTTCAAAACAAATCTTTTATCTGTAATATCTGCTAATAGAATAAAAAATGTTTTCAGCAACCAAATAGAAGTAAAGGTTACTGCTGAAGACAATGAAGAACCACTTAAACTGTACAGATTAGCGGACAAGAAAGCTAAATATGCCAATTATACACTAAAAGTCTATGATACTGGTGATACTGATGATGAGAAACAGAAGAAGGACGAGGAGGCTCAAAAGACAAAAAATACGAAGGTAATATGGAGTGAGTTGACTGCGACAAAAGGAGACAAAACCATAGAATGTAAAAGCACAGAAGACAAGGAAAAATTCCCCGGTCTTGTCCTAGCAGTAGTTGGAGATTGTGATAGTTATGTACCTAGGCCATGGAATACTACAGCTTTCACAACTGGGCTGTTGAACACTGTACATGGAGTGAACAGTAAGATTTTAGTTTTATCATAGATGTTCGCAATCAGTTTGAAATGCAGATCCTGTCTCCAGTTTTTAGTTCCGTTATACATATTCTATCAATTTATAACAGTCTTTTAAAAAAAACTTGTTATATTCAAATAGAGCGGCCAGCATCCTTTAATGTTTATTTTACATGTTAAACATTAAACATGAGGGTTAGATGATGATTAAAATGAGGCTTAATAGGTGGTTAAAGCCCATTGCCAAATATTACATTCATAACAGGACGAGAACATGTTACTGTTATACGAAGGTTAACACTGCTTTGTACTAGACCGACACACTGAGCCGCGGATTTTTAACGTGCCAGTTTAGAAGGACATGGAGAAGAAATTTTGACATGAATTCAGGTGTTCCAGAGGAGAAAGCAATAGCTTGGCTTTCAGTAACAATGTACTCAGAGCAAACTGAAAACCTGGTGCAGTATTGTTTATTATATAAATATTTTAAATATTTGGTGACTAAGGCGCAAAGGGGTAAGAAAAAACGCGTATTGATTTCAAGGAAACTGATTTTACATGAGAAATTAATAGTCTGACATTTTTGGCTATTTTTTGCTTGATGGTGCTTCCTATGTCTGACTATCAGCATATATATAGCTATAGATTTAGAAAGTCATATTGAAAGAACAAGTTCTTATCGAATTTTGAGTCAATGTATCAAAGGTCAAGATTACAATTTCCTATGAATAGACTGAATTTTATTGAAAGATTCGTTTCTAGACAAAGTCTTTTAAATCGTAATTCATATCTCTGCCGGATTTTGCAATCTAAGTATTTGCAAAGGAAAACGAAGATACTGTATATTTCTGTACTCTAAATTTACTGCGCGGGCATAAAATTCGAGGAAAATCAAGACGGGTTACTTTTCTATCATCAATAAATTCGTATATGACAGTAATTCGTATAGCGTTTGATAAACTGGGGGAATTACTGCACGACGATGTTGTATTACCAATAGATTGCGACGTAATTTAGCACCAAAAAAAGGGAAATGGGATCCCCATCATAAAAAAAAATAATTTTCTACTTCTAGCTAAAAAAAAAAATTAGCACATGGACCCCCTTTTTTTATTTTGCAATCGACTATGTACTGCTTCATGAATGTAATATCGAAATTGCAAGAAAAAAATCAACAGTGAATTTTTGTTCTATGAGTATTTGTATTGGCGAGACATTTGTCTGTGGCTTTTATTATCATTAATTGAATAATTGTATGATTTCACAAATATTTAATTGCATTCAGTCTTCATTTAAGGGATATTTGCCACTGGACGTTAAGCAACCAACAATCAATCAATCATTTAAGGGAATTTCTTAAAGGTATATAAATTAAAGAATAATTTTATACTTTGCCAAAAAATGGGTGAAAATAACTCATTTCGTTTAAGTCTTTTTATTTTTTTCGGAAAAGTGTTGAAAAATAAAATTTTGTGTTTTTACATGAAACATGAATATTTCAAGCTGAAATATCTCGAAAAGTAAGTAGATCATGGAGGTACATTTTCCTTGCATATTTCGATAGTGCATATCAAAATCTTAAGAAAACATTAACGAGCTATCTTTTCTGTAACGTATGCCCTTAAGTATACCTTAAGTAGTAGTCCTTTGTTAATTTATGTATCATTGTCATTTTGCTTAGTTTCTTTTGTTACCTATTCTGACATCGGACTCGGACTTCTTTTGAACTGAATTTACTGTGCGTTTTGCTGTGTGTATGTTATTTCTACATTGGCTAGTGGTATAGGGGGAGAGTTGAGATCTCACCTCTGGTCTTTGTTAGTCTTGTATGTTTTTTTAATTTTAGTTCATTTATATGTTTTGGAGTATAGTGCGACGTCCATTTTCATTGAATTAGTATATATTTTTGTTTCCCGGGTGCGGGATTTTCTCGCTGTGTTGAAGACCCATTGGTGGCCTTCGGCTGTTTTCTGCTCTTTGGTCGGGTTGTTGTCTCTTTGATACATTCCTCATTTCCATTCTCAATTTTATCTTGTTCTTTTATTTAATCATAGAAAGCTGGATAATTTATCGAGGAAAGAATAGTGGAGTTAGTTCTTACATAAATAAAGCTTTTAAGAAAGAACCTAGTTACAAGAGGAACGAGCAGAATGACACCACTGCGTTTAATGAAACTGATTCAACAATTCTCATAGCAGTGCAACCAAAGAAAAATGATGAAGTTAAGGTAAGCGTATCATATGTTTAAGATTTTAGGTTTTTTTTAATACTAGTAGTTAAATTTTGGCGAAAAAAATGAATTAAGAAAAACGATGTGTCTAATGGGTTCTTTAGAGTGCATTTCTTTCTAACACAAACGATACCAACGATTAAGCGAGTACATGTTTTGATCATTTGTTTCTAACATACGTTTGCAAAGGTTACATAAACTTTGACAAACTATGCACTCGCTAAAAATGCGTCTGCAGTTTGTCGTTCATCGTTTATTAGTACAAACGCTACATTTGTTTCTAACTTCATCCTCGAATTTTAGTAAAATTATAAGAAAACATTGGAACAATCTGCAAAACGACAAACATTGCAGTGAAATCTTCACCCTAGTGCCTATTATATCGTATAAACGTAACAAAAATATAAAAGAATAACTTGCTAAATCAAGACAATAGTTGGGAGACTTTTGACAAAGGACCCATGCCATGCTTTAACAGTATAAGCAAAAAATCCCGAAACACTGTTAGAAATAATCTTAATTATAGGCAACAAACTTTCATACATATGAAATAGAGAAAACGGTGTAAAGTCTTGAGATTTATAACTATTTTGGTTGAATGAACCGCATTTAATTATTACCGCGTAATAAGTCTGTTTACCAACAACATGTGCATGCATTATTGAAAGTTCATACAGGGTCAGTAAACACTGATTATAAACGATGTATTTTTTTCTACTATTGTAGCGTTTAGCAAACGATAACAAACGCCACACAACGTTTACAAAAATTAGGTTAGAAAGAAATGCACTCTTAGTCTACAAACCACTAAAAAAAACTAATAACGCAAGAACAATAGAAAAGTAACTCTTCTTATCAAAAAGTCGACAAAATCAATAGTAAAATAATGTCGTTGACGACACTTATCAAAAGTTATTTCTAAACAACAATCGTTTATCTGAAGTATTTGTTAAACTGCGTTATTAGAAATATACATGCAAATACATGATATTTTATTTTAATCATTGATAGATATAATTACATTATATTAGCTTGTGGGATTGAAATTAAAAAAAGTTAATGTGATAACGTGATACTTTCAGAAGTTTAGATCCGTATTTAATGAAGTTGTAATTTTCTTTTCTAATATTCTACGCCGAACAGCAATTATATTTGTCTTTTATGTGGTTTTTTTTTATCACAATCCAAATTCAGTGCTGTATCAAGCTTGAATGTTGTGTCCATACTTGCCCCAACTGTTCAGTGTTCGACCTCTGCTCAACTAAAACACTAATTTGTTTTAAACAACAACAGATGAAAAAGATAAAAATGAGCACTCTTTCAATTCTTTCCGTCACCTCAATTGTAATACATACGTGCAGGATAAAAAAAATGGCATAGCTTTTATTTTGGATAAATTAGGTTAAATGATATACGTTAATCAATACTTAAGCTCGAAACAAAACAACACATTGATTATTACAAGGTTTGCACCAAAACCTTTTCTTATATAATTTGTGACCAAGATTTGTATCCCTTCTCTGGAAATTTACTCTTACTTGTTAAAAGAGTTCCTAAAATATTTTATACTTTATAACTTTCCTACACACCACTAGCATACAGTTCAAGCCCTGTGCACATTAAATTTTTCTACAGATACTTATTTAAAACTATAACCAGTTAGTCCATAAACCAAACATTTTGTTCGTAGTTATATTATTAGATACCCTCTGACCAAACATCTATACAACATTAATATTAGAATAAGGAGATGTGAAATGATTGCTAATGAGACAACTATCCACCAGAGTTCAAAAGAAGTGAATGTAAGCAATTTAACGCGACCATACGGCCTTCAACAATGAGAAAAATCTATTCCGTAAAGTCGGCTATAAAAGGCCCCGACATGGAAAATGTGAAACAATTCAAACGAGAAAACTAACGGTGTAATTCATAATAAACCAATTTACGAAAAACAAATATGACAAACATGAACCAACGACAACCACTGAACTACAGGCTCCTGACTTGGGACAGACACCTAAAGAAAGTGACGGGGTAAACATGTTTGTGAGCGCTCAACCCTCATAACCTGGGACAGCGGTGTAACAACAAAATAAAAGAACAAACTGTAAAATTAGTTGCAATTGACTCAAAAGATCAACACGAGTAACCAAAACAACTCACATAAAACATTAGACAATTAGTACCGAAATAAGAGTACTCGCAGTTACTGACAGCTTGTTCAAAGCCATTTAAATCTAATAAATAAGTCATGTTCTCCCAGACTATAGTATCAGTACACATCCAACGGATTTAATGTAAAGACACCATAAACAGTCTAAGAAATGCACGACCCTGTGCAATGCCAGAATATAAGTAACCAGTACTGACAGGGCATAGGATAGTGATTTCTCATATCTCAACATATATAGCAATATATATTAAGTTTTTTTTTAATTTTTCAAAAACAAAATCAATGTTAGTACCATGTTCGGCAATACAATGTTTATTATCTACAGTTTGTAAGTATTCCTATGGACACCAAATGCGCCCTTTTATAGCAGAATTGTTCCATTATTCGTATGAATCACAGTGTATGACCAAACTCAGTAAAAATCATTTTAAAGCTTTATTTTAATTTTCTAGCACAGGTTCGTTACCGCTACGGGTGAACTGTTAGTCCCCTATAGTATCGTCAGCTCAGAAGAAAGTGCTTCGGCATTGACATGATATATCTTGACGTACATTTCCCTCTTGGAAATATTTTACATTTGTCATACCGGAGCAGTTTATAGCCTACTTAACGGTATTGTTGAATGCCGTCTTATGGCATATAATTGTTCACATATTTGTTTTATGTTCTATCATGATTGTATAGTTGTCTCTTCGGTAATCAATTTAAATTGCATTATTTTTATATTCATATGTTGGTGATTTATGGACGATATGTGGGTGTGATGTTTTCATTGTGAAGATGCTGTACTATCATATCACGATGCAACTCCTTCAAAATCTCATCAATCTCTCAAATGACAACTACAAATTTAATATCCAGATATCGTCCGTAATTCATAAGAAACCCAATTACAATATCTTAGTCAATAATAACATTAACTTAAATATATACATGTACATATACAATAATATATATCCTTTATCCGATTTTAATGTACATTAAATACATTTTGTATTTATTACCAGACGAGTGGACATTTCTTTTGTAAGTATGTTTTCTTTTTTTTTCTTTTTTTTTATTTGATTGTTTGTTTGTTTTGTGCTTTTTTTTCATAATATCGTTTTATTGCAGAAACTGTTGGATGCAAAAAAACTTAATCCACATAAGGTATTTCAACTTAACATGAAACCTGAGATAGAGTTAATTAAAGAGAAAGAAGAGTACAAGTGGTTTAACACGTACATTGCTACACTTTTAGCAGACATTTCAGAAAGATGGACTCCTCTGCTAGATGTGATATTTGTAGATGAGGAAAAAAATAATAGTCAAGGTTGCTATTTATCAATACTAGTAACTAATGAAGTAACTTCTCTTGTCTCAATCAGTCGTTGGTTCTTATATCTACTATCTGTCGCTATTTCCTTTTTTTTTTAGATAACGTAAAAGAAAAGAATAAAGTAACATAGTTCTATTCGTAAAGTATATTTTAAGGATCATGTTTAAGACTCTTTTCAGGAAATTCGACAGGAAATTCACGAGAAACCTCGCAATAAGTTTTGAATTTAAAGCAGTCTATTATGAATTTGAAACAATTCAAATAAGAAAAACAAATGTGACAAGCATGAACCAACGCATCCACTAAATTACAAGCTACTGACTTGTGTTAGGTACATAAGGATTTGTCGTGGTTTAGCATGTTTGTGAGCGCTCAATCTTTCCCTAACCCGGAACATTGGGAAAGCACAGCATAAGAACTAATTGTAAAAATCAATTGCCAATGATTGACTAAAAAATCGGAACAAAGCACACAAAACAATAACTTACTAAAAAGCAATAGACTCAATGCACCGGTATAAGAGTTCTCGTAATCGCAGTTACTGAACGCTAGTTCAAAGCCTATTAAAACTTATGAGTAAATCATGTTCCCCCAGACTCAAGTATCAATAAGTACACATCCAAACTTTTGTAAAGACGTCATAAAACGTCTGAGAAACGTTTGACCTTGTACAATGCCAAAATATAAGTGAACAGTATCGACAGGACGTAGGATTATGAGTATTATAACTATACATATATATTTAGTTATATTTTGATTTTGATATTGATTTTTCCACATGTCAGTTAATTTTTGTCAACTTATTAATTTGTCAATTATTTTCATGTTTATAAATACAATGAATAAAGCATATGAATAATCGGTATTGATCTAATATCAACTGCTATTACGACTTCATTATACATATAACTCTTTTTCATATATTTTTTTTTAAGTCTTTAGTTTACTTTTGTACATAATCATGTATGGTTGTATTTCAGCTTTAGAAATGAAAGTTCCAGTATTGCTAGTGGTAGTGGAAGGTGATATGCGTACTGTCCATCAAGTTAAGGCCACCGTTAAGAAGAATATACCAGTCCTGTTGATCAAAGGTTCTGGTAATGCAGCAGATTTAATATCGAATTATTTAGATGAACCACTTCAGAGGTATTGATTGTAATAGCGTGTTTAATAAGATAATGAATACCATAGTTTATTGGACATTTGGAACAACTTAAACGAAATTTATGAAAAAGTGACACCCAATTTAAAGATAACATTTAAATAAATTTGATATTAAGGTTTAAAGACATGTCGGCAATACCTTTCAATTTTTAAACCAGGCTCCTGGCATAACATAGAGTTAATTATTTTTCTTGATACACAAACATTAGTGTCGAGGTCGTCAAAAATGTCCAATCGTTTGTATATTTAAATGTTAAAAGTAGGAGAACATATATTTATTTAAATACAAAAAAGTCACTATTGTTGACTCTTCAATTGTATCAGATCTATTTTAAAGTTTTGCTTCACATATTTCTTCGCTTTGCAACAAGTATTGTGTATCGTACTACAATATATATTTTGATTATCTAGTCCGTGAAGTCTAGATATTTCTTTTAAATAGTGGCGATTTGAAATATAATACGTTGACAGCTTTGCATTACGGATATCAATTTCAGCATAAATATATATATATATATATATATATATTTTAATGAACTCAATAGCCCATCTAGAATGTATCCTTCTGCAGATGCAAGGAATGATAAAACAGATGAAAACAACCATTATGGAGCTCAGGTTGTCAGAATCTTCTCAGAAGAGCTTAGACATTTGTCCATAATCATTACTGCTTAATCTACCCATAACACCCCAAAATCATACATAGAGCACTTTCTTTTTTCAGTGAACGATATCGTCTGATAAAAAAGAAGGCGCCTTTGCTATTTGGAACTTATTTTTTGAATAACCGCTTCTTGAAATTGATAAAGACGATGGAAACCATTGCAAAATTTGATCATCTGGTGAGTTTTGTATCATTACATGAGGATATTTGCAACTGTCGTACAGGATTTATAAAACACCGATGGAAATAGTATACGTGTATACATAAGCTGAGTTAATCTTATTTTTGGTCGGAACTTCAATAAACATATGGATATTGTTTTATTGAAATTTGCTTTTATAGAAATTAAGAAATCTGTTTAGGACAACCTCACGCATAGCTCTGATTACTTGTCAGGCTTTTGTTATATTTTTGGTTCTCAATGTATGTTGATTTTAAAAATTTGGCATCCATTATAACAGAAGAAACAGTAACTGTCAAGATGCACATTTGGTGCAGTAACATGTTTACCGTTAAATGTTATTGTAAAGGAAAGCTGTCATGGTGTTATCATTTTTTAAGTTATGCAATTATTTATCAATTGATATTTCTTTTCGTTTTTCAATTATACCTTTGAACATACACCAAAATTCCTATATTTTATTTCATCTTTATTACTCAATAATCCTATTAATTTATTATCTAAGGAGTTCTAAAATTTTAAAAATCTCTACCTTCTTTTTCTCTAAGTTTGAACTGTGTGTATTTTATCAACATTTATTTTGACCTCTCCATTGGATTTCACTGCCAAACTGAAAGTAAAATTAATCATGATTGATAAAGTGACGTAATTTTAAAATTAATTCGTTTAACATGAACGATTGTGGTAGTAGCTGTGAAGAAATTTGTAATTTTTCAGATCACGGTATATGATGTAAACAACGACAAGGGCTTAAAGATGGAAGAAGCGGTAGTCGAAGCCATAATCAAGGGATGGTCATTACGGGACTTAAACAAGAAAAGTGAATTATTTTTGTATTCATTTCATAATAAGGATAACATTTATAATGCAGTACTTGTTAAATTATCCTGAATGATATTAAACGTAATGTTGTTCAGCGTTGCAAATACTGCATTGATATTCAAAATTAGAACGAATTTACGAAAACATAATAAAAATAAATATGTAAATCGTCATGATTCTTTGGAATTTGTGGAACAAATTATACAGATACTTTGCAAATCTTCCATTGACACTTCAAACAGTAAACTATCACTGAAGAGATTCCTAATGTTTGAAGGTTCATGCATAAAAAGTATGTGGTTGGGTAAAACTTGCTTTCGGATCCCAACCTTTTAAATTTTATCAGTTCGTACAAAATTACATACAATGAAAATCAGTACAGGAAACCACTTTACTCTTAAATGACGATATATAGTAGACAGCAGAAACACAAGTTGAAACAAACAAACGTAATAAACAATACTGTTCGGAATTTAAAAAAATGCTAGCAGTTATTGACTGCATACTCGAAATACTTAACTTGCTGTTGAGAAATCATGCTGTTTTATATTATGTTGAAAGGATTGAAGTTTGCCTTACAAACCTATACAAAGGTTGTTGCAAGCTTGTTAATCTTCAGCGGCGATCTTGCCAAACTCCCTAAATGAAGCAAAGAATACCATTCCAGCCGGATGTGAAAGCATTTATAACCAAATGGACGACGATCAATATCAATATCTAGATGTGAAAGTATCATAAATCAGCTATTTATTAGAATGCGTCTGTTATTACCTTGCAAGAAAGTTTCAAGGGTATATTACACGCTGTCATGTGGTTTTAAACAACGCTAGGTGTATTTTGCATCTAAAAAGTGAGTTTATGGGTTATCAGAATGATGCCCATTCAATTCACCTTGATGCAGCACGCTGTTAGAGATGGTCAGGTATTTCATCCGAAGACCGTACGACAACTCAGATCAACCGTAAGTCGCGATTGATTGTTTGATTGATGTTTGACGCCACTTTAAGCACAGTAGGCTATTTCGTGGGGGTCAGTTTTTATTGATGGAGGAAGCCGGAGTACCCAGAGAGAACCACCAATATTCATATATTATACATAATACATAATAAGTATATCGACAGGAAAACTGACAATCCTTATCAATTAAGATAAGACTAGAGTGCACGCACCTGCCACGTGCGGGGTTCAAACTCCTAACCTCAGTATTGAAAGGCTAGTAATACAGTAGTTGAACTGACGTACTTTAAAAACGCAACACACATTTTGGTGATTTTTTTTACCAAATCATGATTGATCTTAAAATAACTACTATTCATGCATACCATCTTCTTTCTGTATAGAAAAAAAATCGATACCAGACTTACCTGGTGATTTTGAACATACCAGATTATTGAAGTCTTACGAATTTCATAAAGCGAAATTTTGACCCATAAATGTTTTTTTTAAGTTTTTTTTCATCGTGAAACAATTCTTTCAATCCATACCTACATGTACACTTAACGCAGTAAAAATGTTGCATGTCCATATTGCCGAGACTGAGCAAAGAAAAAAATCTTAATTGGGCCATTAGAATATTGAAGGTAGGAGTACGTGAACGTGCTGGTTCTAGTGCTAAACAATTTCACGTCAGAAACTCAACATGTTGTCCTTACAACAACAGTACAGGCAGACGGGATTTGTTGATGACCATCCATGACCAGATCAGTATGTAGTGACAACGCCACGTCAATAAAATTTGATTACACAACGTCATTTGCGAGACATGTTTACGGCCGCAACGTCAACTGCTAATATAGTCGTCGAATGTCATGGCAGACAGATTCAGGCATAAATGTTTCCCATATACGTAAATGCCTAAGAATCGACTGCAGAAAAACATTCAGTGCATATCACATGATTTGAACATTAAACATGGCGTAATCAATTCAACTTTCAAACAGCAAACTTTATTTAGACAATAAAGTAATGAATGAAATTGATGTTTATACATTTATTGAACAAAAATTGCATATTAGAAAATTAGAATTAAAAAGATAAAATGTAATGTTGCGTTTTTAAGGTCCGTCAGTATACATAGATCACTCGGCCACCGAGGACACACCGTTAGTCGGGAAGTGTCGAAAAGTAAACTGTATGAAGGAAGACAGAGTTCAGTTGAACATCTTTTTAGTGATTCAAAAAGTTAAACGTAATTGGTTACAGTACATTATGGAGATATCTGGCCCCAAAATTCACAGACGATGTAGAGACATTTGCCAACATTTTCAATACACTCAAATCCTTATTTGGTTAAGTATAAGCTTCTTAAACCCAGATTGTTTCATAATCCAAATTTCAACAAAGAGAACGATCATCTTAAGATGGAAAACAAAGTATTGATTTCCTTCGTTTCTGAAGACACAATTCAAAGATAAAAATGAATGAAATCAATTCAAAGATAAAAATAAATGAAAAAAATTCAAAGATAAAAATGAATGAAATAAATTCAAAGATAAAAATGAATGGAATAAGTTCAAAGGTACAAATGAATGGAATAAATTCAAAGATAAAAATGAATGGAATAAACAATTGTTTTACTAGCAACACAACAAACCGGGTATCATGATCCTAAATCAGCGGAGTGATCTGAATCCCTATGAGCAATTACACGAGACCGCAACACGTTGGGTAAGTTAAATTTGGATCCGATTCCCACAGAGCATACATGTACTCCTCTGTGGAAATCAGATAAAACATTTACTTACGAATTGTATTAAACTAAGTGTGACTGCTCCTCGGGAGTCCGATCCCTCCTAGGATTTCGGTTCGAGAGACCCACTGTGAACATAAACCGTTGTTGAAGAGCAGAGATATCAGTCTTGGTCGGTAAAAGTAAAGAAATATCATTGTGGATTATTACAAATCAATTTCTATGCAAACGTAAGTACAATTAATTTATATAGATTACAAGAAGAGATAGATATAGTGTGCGCAATCTGTTTTTCTTTAAATTCATGATAGTATACGACTTTCCTTTCAGATGGTAAAGTACCGATTCACGTTGGAGAATACGAGAAAGAACCCAAATTCGGTATGTTAATTTATCATCAGATTTATAAGTAGCATTCGAGAAAATACACCTGTGTATATTTAACAAATACAAACATGTGGAATCATAAGTCTACTTGCTCATATATTATAGTACATTTTTTTTTTCAAAATCAGAATTGATGATATTTATTATTGTGACATTGATTTTAAATCATCAAAGTACAGTGCCTTATGACATTTGTTCAATATAAATACAAAATATACTTTCCCGTGTACTTGCAATGTTGTACCCGCATCTATCCAGTATTTTCACCAAATATGCACTCAGATAATTTAAACTATTGCGGGAGTCAGAGATACACATTAATGCCTTTAAAATATCAATATTTTATTATTCTGATTATTTTTTGGTCGAATTTGTGCTTATGCATCTTAAAGATCCAAATGTATTTGATTATACTATAATCCACTGTTTTGTGAAATATTTTCTTTATAAACGTTTATAAGGTGCATACTTTGTATCTTCATAATTTAGGATTTTTTGCACCTTATATACGTTTATAAAGAAAAAATTTCACAAAACAGTGGATTATAGCTTTCAAAGGTCATAGAAACAGGTTTAACAATACGAATATACGTACTTGGCCATTTTTTCCTTCTCTTATAAAGTGTCCCATTTTTTTAATGTTTAATTTTTACTGGATATCAGCCTGCGTGATATTTGAATTTGAAAACAATAAATAATATCAAATTGTTATGTATGTTGGTTAACGATTACATAGATTTGCCGTCAGTGTATGCTCTGACAACAGCACAATAGTAAAACTGAGACATGCTGACTGACCAAATTCGATTATACATATTTAATTAGATAAAAGAACTAGACAGTAGTGCGTCTTTGGTAAGAAGGTATAACATGGGCTGCATATATTTAATTAAACCTTAAAAGTTACGATCAAATTGTATTTTTTAGTAAATTTGCTATTATTTGCGATATTTGCGCGAAATTGAGTAACGCATATCTTGATTCATTGATATTGTTTTTAATATGCGAAGTCTTAGCCTCTTATTTGAAAGAAAACATGGCCTATTGTATAAGCTATAAAGCAATACAAGAAACATGAAAATATTACCCTAAAGGTTTAGTAAACAGGAAAATGTCAATACATTTATCTATCCGTCATTCTCAATTAACAATTGCATCTGCCGTGACGATAGCCGGTAATAGGGTGTAAAAAGTAGTGAAATGTTACACGATCTTTAATGTTGTATTATATATAGTAATTTTTTTTTTATTTTAGATGAGCTGTCCTGTGATTTTCCAGTAGCGAAACCTGGTAAGCGCATTTCGGAATAGCTATACCCTCTGTGGTGTTAGAACACTTTTCCAAAACAAATTAGAAGATACCGAATGAAATAAGATACAATATATGAATATTTTGAAAAACATGTATTGTCTGAATTGTTTGTAACTATAAATGAAGATAAAGACAAAGGTGTAAAGGCCACAAAAGCGGAAAAACTATACAATAACACAACGTTATTTGCCAATCGGCAGGATAGTTGAAAAAATGTCAGCTTACTATTTACAAAATGTTTTGGCGACTGCCCCGTTTTTTTTTTTTTCTTTTTCTTATATAATCTTCTCGACTAAAGGTATATCTTCCATTAGTTACAAGGTTCTTTTTGAAAAATTGCTACCACTATGCAGTAAATTTCAAAAAGGCTGCATTTGTTTGCACCTGTCCTAAGTCAGGAATCTGATGTTCAGTAGTTGTTGTTTGTTGATGTGGTTCATAAGTGTTTCTCGTTTCTCGTTTTTTTATATAGACGTTGGTTTTCCCGTTTGAATGGTTTTACACTAGTAATTTTTGGGGCCCTTTATAGCTTACTGTTCGGTGTGAGTTAAGGCTCCGTGTTGAAGAGCGTACTTTGACCTATAATGGTTTACTTTATAAATTTTGACTTGGATGGAGAGTTGTCTCATTGGCACTCATACCACATCTTCTTATATCTTTTTTGCAGAGGAAATTTTCTTTTTCTTGACGGTCCGCAAATTATTATATATCAATAAATCATAAGATATATTTTACCAAACACATGGATCAATCAACTTTTGTTTTTACAATAACTGGAGCAATTATGTTTGACCAACAACGATGATATTTTCAGTCATCTAACCGTTGTGTACAAAAAACTAAAAAGATCAAGTTGTAATGTATTTATTAAATAAGTTCCATTATCCTCACAGCAAACAAAAAAGAAAAAAAGATTTGCAAGTAGGGCTGTAACCTGTTCGTGTCTGGTAGGACAACGGTTTGTCGAGATAAACCAATAGCTGTCCGTGGCAGTCAATCATAAAATTAACAGTTGGAAACAAAAATTGAAAATAATATTAATATTTTAAACACCATTTGAATTGAACGACAAAAAACTAGTAAATACATTCTAAATCACGCATGCCGGATTATTCACTTACACAGAGTATCCTTTTGGGAGAACCCTTAATCCATTCCCTTTGTATAAGTACTGCCTGGAAAGGACAAAAAACGTGTTGCTACCTAAACTGTAAAATGTGATGGTATATTATCAAACATACAAGTGGTCAACTGCCTTTTTTATTATTGTTTTTGTCTGTAAATTTTTGTTTTGTTTTTATTTTTTATGTTTTTTTTTTTTTTAATAATAACACAAATGAATAGAATAATAATAATTAAAAACCAATTGTTGTCTGAACAAATGAAGGTCTTTCCACATCAATTTTCTAAATAACTGATAAGAATCTACTTCCGGTTTACTCAAAGTTACTTTTGGCATCCAATCAAAGGTTTCTTCATACTGATTTAATAAATATATGGTTTCTATATTCTTTTGCCTGAAATAAGGACAACTTCCGGTTTGGAAAATGTTACTTCCGGTCTCATATGACAGCTGTATATTACACTGATTCCAAGTATATGTGGTTAATATATACTTTTGCCTGTAAAAAGGGTGAAATTTGGCTACTTCCGATTAAGAAAATGTCACACTGATTCCAAAAATATATAGTTTAATATACTTATGTCTGTAATAAGGGAGATAATCAGCTACTTCCGGTTATAGAATGTCACTTCCGGTCTCAAATTATAGGATTATGTGTGCCGATTTAAAAAAAATATATGGTTTCTCGGTACTTTTCCATGAAATAAGTGCAAAAATGACTACTTCTGGTTCATTCAAGGTAATTTCCAGTTGACATTTTTCAAGGTTATATGTCACCCAACATTCTGTAAAAGACCTTATGGCTTTACCATGTACCAATCTGAAGTAAACATCAATTTATCTTAAAATAAACTACTTCAGGGGCAAAAACTGCTATAAGACGTCAATGGATTGTTTCAGACAGAAAAGTGGAAAGACTTAATAAATTCTTTCTTTTTAAAGAGGGTAAACCCAGTTAGTTACAACAAACTAATCTTCCCTGAGACCCTCACATACAAATTACAATACTATCAAAACAGATATTTACACATAGTTAATTTACAGTCAAGTAGTTCAATGTATTATTATTAACATTATAAGATATAAAACTGTTCAAGAGGTACATGTAGTAAAAAATAAAAAAATAAAATAAAAATGAAATAAAATATATACAAATCAAAATATTACAGTGTAGAAAACAGAATCTTATCAGGACTGTGTCAAGTACTTCTTGATACTTTGTTTAAAAGTTAAAGTTTTTTGGGCTTTACGCATTTTGTGTGGTAGTCGATTCCATAACACTGATCCAGAATTAACAAAAGATTTCTTAAACAGCTCAGCTTTTGGTTTAGGAACTATCAGTTTACCTTGAGTAACACCTCGCAAGGAGTAAGGATTATTTTCTGATTTCAGTTTAAACTTTTGAACTAGGTACATTGGTGCTTCCATACGCACACATTTATATAGAAGTAAATATTTGTGGTATTTAATTCTATTTTCAACTGTCATCCACCCAAGTTCTTTAAATAAGGGGGCTAGCGGGATAAAGGATCTGTATCTAAAATTAATATTGCTGCCCTTTTTGGAGTTTTAATATTCTTATTATCCCTTCATTTTTACAATCACCCTAAATAATACAGCAGTAGTCAATTAGGGGCAGAACATACCCATTGTAATATGTTTTCCTAGCACTTATGTCTAAAAATTTCTTTATGTTAGAAAGAAGGTATATTCTGGATGATATATTCGCACAAACATTTTTTTTTTCAAAATCAGAATTGATGGTATTTATTATTGTGACATTGATTTTAAATCATCAAAGTACAGTGCCTTATGACATTTGTTCAATATAAATACAAAATATACTTTCCCGTGTACTTGCAATGTTGTACCCGCATCTATCCAGTATTTTCACCAAATATGCACTCAGATAATTTAAACTATTGCGGGAGTCAGAGATACACATTAATGCCTTTAAAATATCAATATTTTATTATTCTGATTATTTTTTGGTCGAATTTGTGCTTATGCATCTTAAAGATCCAAATGTATTTGATTATACTATAATCCACTGTTTTGTGAAATATTTTCTTTATAAACGTTTATAAGGTGCATACTTTGTATCTTCATAATTTAGGATTTTTTGCACCTTATATACGTTTATAAAGAAAAAATTTCACAAAACAGTGGATTATAGCTTTCAAAGGTCATAGAAACAGGTTTAACAATACGAATATACGTACTTGGCCATTTTTTCCTTCTCTTATAAAGTGTCCCATTTTTTTAATGTTTAATTTTTACTGGATATCAGCCTGCGTGATATTTGAATTTGAAAACAATAAATAATATCAAATTGTTATGTATGTTGGTTAACGATTACATAGATTTGCCGTCAGTGTATGCTCTGACAACAGCACAATAGTAAAACTGAGACATGCTGACTGACCAAATTCGATTATACATATTTAATTAGATAAAAGAACTAGACAGTAGTGCGTCTTTGGTAAGAAGGTATAACATGGGCTGCATATATTTAATTAAACCTTAAAAGTTACGATCAAATTGTATTTTTTAGTAAATTTGCTATTATTTGCGATATTTGCGCGAAATTGAGTAACGCATATCTTGATTCATTGATATTGTTTTTAATATGCGAAGTCTTAGCCTCTTCTTTGAAAGAAAACATGGCCTATTGTATAAGCTATAAAGCAATACAAGAAACATGAAAATATTGCCCTAAAGGTTTAGTAAACAGGAAAATGTCAATACATTTATCTATCCGTCATTCTCAATTAACAATTGCATCTGCCGTGACGATAGCCGGTAATAGGGTGTAAAAAGTAGTGAAATGTTACACGATCTTTAAGTAATTTTTTTTTTTATTTTAGATGAGCTGTCCTGTGATTTTCCAGTAGCGAAACCTGGTAAGCGCATTTCGGAATAGCTATACCCTCTGTGGTGTTAGAACACTTTTCCAAAACAAATTAGAAGATACCGAATGAAATAAGATACAATATATGAATATTTTGAAAAACATGTATTGTCTGAATTGTTTGTAACTATAAATGAAGATAAAGACAAAGGTGTAAAGGCCACAAAAGCGGAAAAACTATACAATAACACAACGTTATTTGCCAATCGGCAGGATAGTTGAAAAAATGTCAGCTTACTATTTACAAAATGTTTTGGCGACTGCCCCGTTTTTTTTTTTTCTTTTTCTTATATAATCTTCTCGACTAAAGGTATATCTTCCATTAGTTACAAGGTTCTTTTTGAAAAATTGCTACCACTATGCAGTAAATTTCAAAAAGGCTGCATTTGTTTGCACCTGTCCTAAGTCAGGAATCTGATGTTCAGTAGTTGTTGTTTGTTGATGTGGTTCATAAGTGTTTCTCGTTTCTCGTTTTTTTATATAGACGTTGGTTTTCCCGTTTGAATGGTTTTACACTAGTAATTTTTGGGGCCCTTTATAGCTTACTGTTCGGTGTGAGTTAAGGCTCCGTGTTGAAGAGCGTACTTTGACCTATAATGGTTTACTTTATAAATTTTGACTTGGATGGAGAGTTGTCTCATTGGCACTCATACCACATCTTCTTATATCTTTTTTGCAGAGGAAATTTTCTTTTTCTTGGCGGTCCGCAAATTATTATATATCAATAAATCATAAGATATATTTTACCAAACACATGGATCAATCAACTTTTGTTTTTACAATAACTGGAGCAATTATGTTTGACCAACAACGATGATATTTTCAGTCATCTAACCGTTGTGTACAAAAAACTAAAAAGATCAAGTTGTAATGTATTTATTAAATAAGTTCCATTATCCTCACAGCAAACAAAAAAGAAAAAAAGATTTGCAAGTAGGGCTGTAACCTGTTCGTGTCTGGTAGGACAACGGTTTGTCGAGATAAACCAATAGCTGTCCGTGGCAGTCAATCATAAAATTAACAGTTGGAAACAAAAATTGAAAATAATATTAATATTTTAAACACCATTTGAATTGAACGACAAAAAACTAGTAAATACATTCTAAATCACGCATGCCGGATTATTCACTTACACAGAGTATCCTTTTGGGAGAACCCTTAATCCATTCCCTTTGTATAAGTACTGCCTGGAAAGGACAAAAAACGTGTTGCTACCTAAACTGTAAAATGTGATGGTATATTATCAAACATACAAGTGGTCAACTGCCTTTTTTATTAATGTTTTTGTCTGTAAATTTTTGTTTTGTTTTTATTTTTTATGTTTTTTTTTTTTAATAATAACACAAATGAATAGAATAATAATAATTAAAAACCAATTGTTGTCTGAACAAATGAAGGTCTTTCCACATCAATTTTCTAAATAACTGATAAGAATCTACTTCCGGTTTACTCAAAGTTACTTTTGGCATCCAATCAAAGGTTTCTTCATACTGATTCAATAAATATATGGTTTCTATATTCTTTTGCCTGAAATAAGGACAACTTCCGGTTTGGAAAATGTTACTTCCGGTCTCATATGACAGCTGTAAATTACACTGATTCCAAGTATATGTGGTTAATATATACTTTTGCCTGTAAAAAGGGTGAAATTTGGCTACTTCCGATTAAGAAAATGTCACACTGATTCCAAAAATATATAGTTTAATATACTTATGTCTGTAATAAGGGAGATAATCAGCTACTTCCGGTTATAGAATGTCACTTCCGGTCTCAAATTATAGGATTATGTGTGCCGATTTAAAAAAAATATATGGTTTCTCGGTACTTTTCCATGAAATAAGTGCAAAAATGACTACTTCTGGTTCATTCAAGGTAATTTCCAGTTGACATTTTTCAAGGTTATATGTCACCCAACATTTTGTAAAAGACCTTATGGCTTTACCATGTACCAATCTGAAGTAAACATCAATTTATCTTAAAATAAACTACTTCAGGGGCAAAAACTGCTATAAGACGTCAATGGATTGTTTCAGACAGAAAAGTGGAAAGACTTAATAAATTCTTTCTTTTTAAAGAGGGTAAACCCAGTTAGTTACAACAAACTAATCTTCCCTGAGACCCTCACATACAAATTACAATACTATCAAAACAGATATTTACACATAGTTAATTTACAGTCAAGTAGTTCAATGTATTATTATTAACATTATAAGATATAAAACTGTTCAAGAGGTACATGTAGTAAAAAATAAAAAAATAAAATAAAAATGAAATAAAATATATACAAATCAAAATATTACAGTGTAGAAAACAGAATCTTATCAGGACTGTGTCAAGTACTTCTTGATACTTTGTTTAAAAGTTAAAGTTTTTTGGGCTTTACGCATTTTGTGTGGTAGTCGATTCCATAACACTGATCCAGAATTAACAAAAGATTTCTTAAACAGCTCAGCTTTTGGTTTAGGAACTATCAGTTTACCTTGAGTAACACCTCGCAAGGAGTAAGGATTATTTTCTGATTTCAGTTTAAACTTTTGAACTAGGTACATTGGTGCTTCCATACGCACACATTTATATAGAAGTAAATATTTGTGGTATTTAATTCTATTTTCAACTGTCATCCACCCAAGTTCTTTAAATAAGGGGGCTAGCGGGATAAAGGATCTGTATCTAAAATTAATATTGCTGCCCTTTTTTGGAGTTTTAATATTCTTATTATCCCTTCATTTTTACAATCACCCTAAATAATACAGCAGTAGTCAATTAGGGGCAGAATATACCCATTGTAATATGTTTTCCTAGCACTTATGTCTAAAAATTTCTTTATGTTAGAAAGAAGGTATATTCTGGATGATATATTCGCACAAACTTGGTCAATTTGATTTCTCCAGCTAAGTGTGCTTTCAATTTTAACACCTAATAATTTTTCTCATGAAGAATTTTTTAATATTTTTGAATTTGTTATTTAGTTTGGTTGATAAGTCTGAATTGATAGTTTCTGTTTTGTTCCAGTAACCAAACATTTTGTTTTATTTGTATTGATGAACATGTTTTGTCGTTTTGCACCACTCTTCAACCCTGTATAAATCTTCTTGAACATCATCATGTATACTTTCTATGTTTTTCCCTGATTTATGAAGAGTGGTGTCATCAGCATATAGATCTGTTTCACAATTTTCAATGCATAAGGGAAGGCCATTTATAAAAACACAAGCAATAGAGGACCAAGTATAGAACCTTGGGGAACACCAAATTTTACATGTTGTTGTTCAGAATAAATACTACAAATGTGTACCTGCTGTGTTCTGTTATTTAGGTATGACTTGAAAAAAACTAACATTAACCTCACTAAATCCATAAATTTCAAGCTTTAAACAAAGAATGTCATGATCTACCAAATCAAAAGCTTTTTTAAAGTCTAATAAAATTGCCAGGTTTAAATTACCATCATTCATTTTTGCAACCATTTGTCAATGATATTGATAAGTGCAGTTTGACAAGAATGCTGCGGCCTGAAACCATATTGTGTAGGATGTAAAATTTTTAGTTTAGATAAGTATTTGTACATGTTATTAGAAACATGCCTTTCTATTAATTTTGATAAAGTTGAAAGAACAGATATAGGTCTGTAATTTGTTGCTAAAAGATTGTCACCATCCTTGTGGACTGTTGTTACCTTAGCATTCTTCAGTCAAGATGGTTATCATTAGTTACATAGTGTGCTAGTGACCTAATACGATATATATGGGATCAGTAAATGACATATGGGGTGAGAGCGAAGAAGCTTTCACCCCATATGTCATTTACTGAACCCATATATATCGTATTAGGTCACTAGCACACTATGTAACGAATTTATCTTACCGACTATCTTAACATATGGTATTTAGACTAGTGGCCTATCAAAGTGATCAAGTCTTCAATACCGTTAGTATTAAGAACCTACTTTCATTGGTCTATACAAAAACAAATGCCAAATGTGTTTTATGAATTCATTTCAATCGTTCATCATCAATTTCTTCGTCTGTTGAAACCTTTAAGATTATTCCTCTACACAGTGTTGTTTTTATAAAGGGACGTAACACCACCACTAACCATGTATTGAAGTAAGCCCCGCCTACTAACCCAATATGGAATATACACGGTCTCCACGCGGTTGCTTTTAACCAATCATATTTTTCGAAATGTATAGGAGGTAAGATAAATACCAGAATCTATTATTTTGTTAAATATATATGTGAGAGGTGATACAATAAAGGGGGCACTTAATCTTAGGATTTTGGTCCAATGTTATCCATACCAGATGATTTGTTTATATCAAGTTTTGTTAGCTCATTAAAAAGCTAATTCATGATGACTGGTGGTATAGAAAATGTTTCATTTTTATGCAATTTATTTTTAACAAATTTACCAAGATTACTGAAATCTGCTTTGTCTACAGTTGTATAACTTCCTTGCTCTCTTAGTTTTTCAGCACAGGAAGTGAAAATGTTATTATTGAACAATTATCAATAAATAAATCCCTATATTCATTCAAGAATATTATATATTTTTCTTGCAGACATGTACCAACTGCCAGAGGAACAACAACCAGATAATAAGCAGCAGCATGAAGAACATCGTACACCGAATACTGTCACATTAAACATAGTCAATGACGAGAAATTAAGTAAGTACAACAGTACCTTAATTATCAATAAGTATTAATTATCTTGACAGCCATGTATTAACAAACATCACGTTTACGCATGTTGAACGGAAGTCAATTTTATGTTTAGCATGTTTTTACCATTAATTTTTTAATGTTATTGCGTAAAACATTGCATTTTTTTCTTAAAAAGAAATCTGCACTGCTCCTTTGAATAATAATTTCATTAGTTTCACGTAACATGTGTACATGTATTATAGGAAGTAATTCGCCCTGAACATGCATGAAATATTTTCCGCAAAACTGTTAAAGCAACGAACGATCAATATAGGGAATAAACCTTTCCAAATCATCATTTTATGTAAGAGTTGAACCAGGAATTATTAAGAATTTTGAAACTTTTTCATATGAAATTGCCATTATTCTACCTGTTTTATATTGACTAGATTCGGTACCTTTTGAAATAGATATTAATCGTAACAAATTGACTGATCATTTGCTAAACTATTGAAAAGCAGATCATGCAAATTTAGGATAGTCAAAGATGTAATAAAGGTATCCCCCACTCTACTCCAGAGACATTTTTTATGTGTACCAGACACGGACAATAATGCCAGAGCTTTGCAAGACGGAAATAGTTTCCTTAATTTTCAGTTCTTTTCTTAATTTGTTCATTGCATTTGATTTTATGAAAACAATAACCGTATTTGTACTTACTGACCTTCTTGACTGTTAACTTGATTACCTATATCTTACTTTTTAAGCCTTCATGTAATTTGATGTTACCCTTGGACACTATCAGTCCACCAACAGAGGTATCGACATAGCAGTAAAAGCATTAATTGGTACCAGTTTTTCAGCACCAAACTACTTTTCAGATTTGTTCTTTGCGTAAATTCATTTGATTTCAGACATATAACATATGGTAATTCTAGGACTGTTCCACACATTCCAGGCAGTTCAGTGTGTATAGCTTTGCAGGGAAACATAACATCGATTTTAAATGACAAAGTTATATTATTAACGGTAACAATTTAAATGCACCAGATGCGCAATGCGACAATTAATGGCTCTTCAGTGATGCTCGAGGTCAAAATATTTGAATATCCTAAAATCTAATTCAAATGGTGAAGAGCGGATCAAACCAAAAAGGACATGAAGTATAACCAAATCCGGACAAGGAATCAGAGTTTTGCATGAAGGAGATATCTTCCTTAATTTAAATAATTTCAAAATTTTTATAACGCACATTTTAATCAAACAATATCCGTATTTTCATGCCAGTACCGATGAAATGGCTACTTGGCTGGTGATACTCTCGGGAAGAAAACGTCCACAGCAGAGGCATTGACCCAGTGATAGTAATAACATGAACGGTACCAATTTTAATGCACCAGATGCGCAATTCGACAGTTAATGTCTCTTCAGCGATGCTAGAGGCCAACATTTTTGAATATCCAAACATATATACAAATGTTGAAGAGCTGATCAAACCACAAAGGATATAAAGTATAGTCAAATCTGGACAAGGAATCAGGAGATATACTTCTTGATTTAAAATTATTTTGCAATTTTTATAATGTTCAGCAAATTTTAATCAAAACTATATCCGTATTTTCATTCCATTTAATCTATTTATCACATGTATTGTAGATATTCAAAGTTTGATGAAAAGCTATCAATTGTCACTTTCGCCTGGATCCCTGTCTTTGTACTTTTACATCGCATATCAGTTCATACAGGAAAAGAACTACGAGAACAAGGAGAAGGTAAGAAAAATAAAAAAGTTAATAAATTTCTAATATTTACTTCCATATTTTGTTTAACTACTGCTTTTAGAAGGTTGGCAGTTAGAAACCGTAGATCACAATGGATACCACAATGATATAAATTATTCAGATATTTATATAAAAAGTAAAATAACATGAATACCGAACTCAAAGGAAAATTTAAAACGGAAAGTCCGTTATCAAATGGCAAAATCAAAAGCTCAAACACTTCAAACGAATGGAAAACAACTGTCATAATTTTGACTTCGTACTTAACCTCTCACTTGTATGATAGTTAGATAGAATCCCATTACATTGACAACAATTTGTGAACAAATCAAATAGACATAGGTAAAAATTTCAAAAATTGGGGTATAGCAGTCAACATTGTGTTATAATCTAAATCAGTATAAAAACAAATAACTATTCCAACAAAGAAAAACAAAATGGAATATAGACATTCTATAGGCAAAGTACATATTCAAAAATGAACGACAAGAATACAAAAATGACCATAGCACAATAACACAATGGCGGGATGTATAAATACCTAGCCACGACAAAAGTATGTAACAAAAATGGACTAAACAGTAAAGGTTAAAAATATATAAAGACAAATGAAAAGAACATTATAACACGTAATAAAATTGATAAACAAGGTCAGTACCCAGAATCTATACTTCAATACTATCATTTATTATTTGTGAAGTTGATACGGAATGTTTATCAACAAGTTCTTGGTATCTTCCGATGATTTTTTTAGAAAAAGGACTAGACGTTCTTTGACATAACCCTGGTTCATTAACTTTCTGCTCAGACCCTGGTGGCGTGCGTTTTATAAAGTCTGAGTAGCAGCTGCAAGCTCTTGAATACCGAATGAGTTGGAAAATGTATATCCTATATGCAGGTGAAGTTGGTATATTGCTACTAAGGTGGGGAAAATTTATAATTTCAAAATTAAAATCCTCTCGTTTGTCATAGATTCTGATACTGAGGTAAATTCGAGGTATAAGTCGAAATATGAGGCGGAGGAAGTCGTGTCTGTTGTTTCTTTAATTTCTAGTTCTGGAGGATGTTAAGGGAACCCAATCAGACAAGTTTTGATTGTTATTGAAAAGAACATCATCAATATATCTAAATGTGAAATTAAATGATCTGGCTTCTTTAAACTTTTTTTTTTAAGTGCCTGAAGGAGCTCCGACTCAGATGAAAATAAGAAGAGGTCGACTAGGAGAGGCGCATAGTTCGTTCCCATAGGAACCTCGACAATTTGTTGAAAAAAGTCTACCTCCAAATTCAACAAATATATTGTTAACAAGAAACTTCAGCATACTCTGTGTATCATGTTTTACATTTTTGCTTTCTATTTACAAAATATGCCGTAGTGTATCCCAAAGCAATAGTGTATGCTGCCATATTTTTATATTGAAAAGCATTGTTTATTATTTGTTTTAGATTATTTTTCAATTTCACATGGGGAATGGTGGTTAACGGGGTTGAAAAATCTAAAGTTTTGATAGAAGAGAAAGATCGAGATTTAAAGTTATCCAGAAGTTCTATAGAGTTTTTTAGAATCCACATATGGTTAATACCACTACGCGAGTAAATTGTTTCAGAGTATTTCTGAAGACCCTCTTTCACTGCGGACAGAATTTGGTCAATCTAATGGACAATTCCTTTGTAGAACATGTAGATCAGCCGGCAAAATACCGTTTTTGTACGTAAAATTCGTGTGTAGAAACCTCATCAAAAGCTATGCAAAAGGTAAAAATCACAAAACCAAAGGCGTACAGATAACATCAGTTCATATGAACAATATCAAAGTGCCATATATCTGCTAACTCTTTCGTCATAAAGAAATACTTGTTTGTTTTATGATGAAAACAAAATAATCGTCCCATTTCATCGGTAACAGTCGTGTCTATCCTTCATCCTGAAAAACGTTTTTCAATTTCAAAATTTCACATTCGATAAAGTTTTAGGTTTATAAAATTTACATGACAAATGGATGATGAATTTAATCATCTTTTTGGGATAGACAAGAGTCAACTGGCAATCCCATATTGTGTGATGTCGTATCACTTGGTATAACTTATTAACGTATATTATAGGAGCAAATCGACAGGTGTCACGTGTGAAACAGGATTAACTGACCCTTCAAAGCACCTAACATCCACACCAGTTTCTTTGGTGGGGTTCTTGTTGTCTATGTTGGTTTTTTTTTTTGAAGACTTGTTTTTCTTTTGGTGTTTTTTTTTTTTTTTTTTCGTTTTCCTGTTTTCTCTCCATAGCGTTGTCAGTTTGTCTTCGACAAGTGAGTTCGAGTACCCCTTTGTTCTCTTCCGCCGCTCTTTTTAATCACATGACAAACAAGGAATGAAAGATTTTTTTATGCTCTAATAACATATCTTTTTTAGATAACTACCTACATGTTAATGCCGTCGGTATCTTTAAACAATATATTTTCTTTTTACTACATATGGGTCAAGATGCGCAATTCATTCCAGGTAGGTGGTAATGGTAGCCTTTTCGTCAATTCCTTCGATCATATCGTATACGCGGATATGTATGATGGCTCGTTTCAAAGCTGATACATTTACACATATGTGGTGAAATTTTTGGGGTACGAAGCATGATTCTTTTTCCGTAATTTAGCACATCCCGAAAAGCCTTTTATGATGCGGCTCTTCGAGGTAAAAAGAAAATCCCCTTTTTCACACAATAAGTTCTTTAAAAATTTAGTTCTTTGCATACACCATAGGTTTCACATCTTTATTCTATGGTCCTCTGTTCTCCAAATCAGTCATTTTTTTAAAATTCAAACATGTCCAATATCACTGCACAGATTTTTGTTTAGGCACTACTTTTGAGTTCCTCTATTTGAGGTGCTTTATGGATATTAACCCATATAGTGTCATACCACTAAAATTTACATCTCTTAATAAAACCAACTATCCTTCTCTATTAAGGATTTGCAGTTACTCTTATTGGAAGCTATTATAGCAGATCGTGTGGATTACGTGTCAGCAATGCTACAGAATGGAGTCGAATTCAATTATAATCACTTTGAAACATTATATAATGAGGTAAGTATAGTTACCGTCAGCTATCATTACAAACTATGGAAAGTGAACCGAGACGGTTAAACAATAACTTGTACTGTCATCTACAGAGCCTAAACAATGTGATTACATGTCATGGGATTTTACTCAATTTTCGAATCACAATCAAAATGCTACAAGAAAAAAGTCAACGACAACAACATTCATGATGAAATTTCGTGAAATGATTAAACGGGTTTTTCGAGTACTCCCTTCTCAAATGATATGATGAAGCAATGCATTTACTGAACGATCTTTTAAAAAAAAACCACTCTGTTCGCAATTAATGGGAATATACATTTTCCTGTTCAATTTTTTTAATTGTCTATAAATTATAGTACATAAATAGTCACACGTCTAGAGTTTATCTTCCTTTTCTGAAACATGTAATCAGTTTAACACTTTATTTAGATATTTGTCACGTCAAGAAACAGTATGCTTTTTATTTTGACCGAGGGAAAATTCTGTTTGGAAGAAGCCATTTGAACTGATTAAACATAAATATATTATACGATACATGTTTGATCTATATAACTTTACAAATATAAAATAAGGAGATGTAATATAATTGCAAATGACACAATTATCAATATTATTTGATCAACCAGAATCCAAATGACTTTATCAACTAGAGTCCAATTGACTTTATCAATCAAAGTCCAATTGACTTGATCAATCAGAGTCCAAATGACGTGGATATAAGAAACTAACTATTGGAAAGGATGTAATAATACTAAGGAGTTACGGTATGCTTGCCAATGCGACAACTATCAAGCAATCGTCCTACGGAACAACTAAATGTTTAGGTCACAAAACTGCCATCACCAATGAACACAACTTTTACCCTATAGTAACCTATTAAAGGTATAATAAAGTAACAGGCACACATCTGCGATAAGGGATAACAGATCATGATTTTATATTGCAGTTTTGTTCAGAATATCTTTGTGTATTTCGAGTTCTTTTAACCTTTTAGCAACCTCCAACCCTTTTTCATCAAACAATTACAATTTTAAAGTCTTAAAAATTAAATGGATATATATCTTCTTGTGCAAAAATAAATGATAAATGTATAAAGGTTAAAGTGACTTCCTTCATAATGCTATTTCATTGTAGACATTAAAATGTGAAAACTGCCGAGCAAAGGACTGTCGCAAAATTCACTCCATACACCACGTAAGTAATTTTTCATGTACACGTCACTTCCAAAATATCAGGGTTGGAAACGTGACCAAACATAACCCATTCTACTTGATAATTATTTTCAAACTCACAATAGTGTTTGCTTCCTCAGAGTATATTTAATTTGTAAGTACTTTATGTAATTTATAAAGACTTATTTCATTTACATTTAATCCTGTCAAAGCATCTTATTGCCACTAAATCCCGTATATTAATATTAAGAATCCAAATAACAGTTCAGTAGGTCATGTTATTTGTCCCAATGTTATAAATATTTTTTTGAAACAATAATAACGTACCTCAAGTCTATAAAACATGGAATATTTAATCGTTTTTATTTGAATGTCAAACTTTTATATTCATTTTTGGAATTTATAGACAAGCGGAATATTGTACGAATATTGACGAAAACTAAATGATATATGGTTTTATTTATATATGATTGTGGTTTTTTTCTATATTTCCTAAGAAATTGAATTTCCTCCAACTTGAGATTTTTCTCTTCCAACTTGACTTTCCTCGATTGTAACTCGATATTTCGTACTTGCAATATCACTTCCAAGTTGACATTCTCACTTCCATTCGATGAGAGACCATAATAAACCTTTTGTAATAAAATGCATAATTCCTACCAATGTTTTTAGAGTAAATACACATTTACATATTTCACAAAATGAGCATCCCTCCCTCTGTATGTTTAAAACAAACAAAGACGTACTTTCTGGTGTGAAACCAAGTATCATATTTGTAATTGTAAGTAATTATTCTTGGGGGAATAATTAAAATTATTGATTGTGTTTTTATACAGAGAATAAGTGCTGGCGTTTGTGAACAAATCTGGTGTACATGCAAAGAAAAAAAGAAAGGTAATACAGGCAACGGATCTACAAATTGCAAAAGACATGGCACGAGAGAACGAACAATCTGCGACAGCGGACGGCTTATGTGTCAACAGTTACTCAATTATGCCACAAGTAAGAATATATGTATAACAATATATTAAAAGACAGTACGATTGTTCAAATGAGTTTCAAAAATGTTCTGATTAAGAGGCGTCGAAACATTTTCAAGGGAGATAACTGTTAACGCGATAATAAATGATTTATAGTCCGTTACGAGATTTGTTTATGATTACTTGGAAATAAAAAAATTTATTACACAATCAAATTTTAAAAACATTTTTGTACATACATTGTACTTGTAGAATGAATAATTTTCGTTGTTTACAAATTAATGAAACCGTCAACAGACATTGTCTTATTTGCTGTTCTCTGTTTGATTCAGTACATTTTTATTTTTATAGGAGACGTCGTTAAACTATTCCTAAAGTTGGAAAGTGAAGTTCCCTTAACATATAAGACGATCATTTACATATACATTGACATTTTTATGAATAAATTTAAGAACGTTCTCTAAAATAAGCACAGTAACACGCATTTATTTATTTGATTGTAAGTTTTTAAACTGCACAATGAGCAAAAATTTGATAATATTATATAAGAGAAATGACAAAACCGTTGAATGAAACGAATGGCAAACTATAATGTTATATTCATTTTTACAAAAAAAATTATATTGTTATGCTATCGTTCCGGAGAAATATCTGTTTGAACTTCATTAAACGTCTAAAATATGATTCAAAAAACCATTTCAGGCAAAACATAAAAATATTAAATAAAACATTTCAGCAATCAAACTTGTTGGATACAAAGCAACAAAAATCGCACTAAAGTTCAGTCTTCACAACTTTATAGATTTAACAAAATGTAAACCGCGTCTTTTGTAATAAAGGTTCTAATTATCGATTTTTTTATTTGCTTTATGTTATATTCGAAAGAGCAATAACTTAAATATCAAAAGTTTCGTCAAACGATTTTTAAGCAAGGAAACAATCAGAGATGGCCGGGGTCATAGATTTACAATACTATTCATGTTTCACTTATTTTTCAAAATTTATTCCGTAGCTTTTGAAATATTTCAATATTAAATGCAACTGACGGACATGAAGTAAAATATACTTTCGTGTTTCAAATATTTTTTAGGTAGTTTGAATCTTTGTTCTTTTAAAGTTGTCAATTTTGATTTTTTTAAATGTAGATAAAAAATAAATTTCATGCGGCATTTTGCATTTGCTCCGATCTGCATTTCACTTGCACCGATTGTGTACAGGTAAATTACAGGTGAATGGTATTTTTTATTTATCATTATAAACCTCTATCGTTAGCCAGTTGTACATATAGTATGAATTGTCAATTCTAATATGACGTCCTATTATCGTCAACCAGTATAATCACAATATATTTACCTTGCGCGCAAACGCAGTAATACACAAAAACGGCTGTACCGCGTTACGACCAACTTATTTATACTACCAGATATTCTCAATTTTCTACATCAAAACCCCAAGTTTACGTAGGCCAAGATTCAGATACAATATATTTATCTCCATTCTACAGCAAAATAAACAAATCAGTCCATTTCAATTTATTTTTCATGGTATAATTTTATAAAACGAAAATTCCGCGAAATGATGTTATTGTCTTGGCATGGCAACGAAACAAGATGACGTCACAAGTATGTTTTCGTAAAAAAAAATTAAATGTAAATACCATGCGTTTTAAAGCTTCTTGTACGCCTCAGAACGAATAAAATTACATTGGAAGAAAATATATAAGTGAAAAATGCGATTAAAAAAATTAATCATTGAAATATATGATATTACTAATATTATCAAAATTGGGTAAAGCGGAACAACCAAAACAATATCGTAAGTATAGGGCTTTCACGGTTAACAAAATTACCTAAATTTTCTCCTATTAGAATCGAAATAATTCATGGCAGCCGTAGATTTGTTTTCATTTAACCATGGGTTGGGCATATATATTTCTATTTTACCCCTCGCTAGCGCTCAGGGTAAAATAATCGAATATATTCGTCCTTACGACGCTCTCTGTAAACAGCCAAATCCTTAGGCTCGACATGGCTTTCCTTCATTCCCTTTAAAAGACGAAAACCAAAAAAATATTTCAATAAATCAAAACTCAGTAAGAATTTTAACATGTTTAAAGTTTTATGACCAAACTATTTACTGTGGGACAATTTAACGATATGTAGCTGCATGCATAGCTAATGGCTTGTATTGAAAGAACATAAATGTAGCAAAGCAAGTAAGTAAGTTAGTAATTAAAACTTTATTTCAATTCGGCATGTAATGAAACAGTCAAACATAAGCTCTCAAAAGCTTTTTACCGAATATAAAAACATAATACATTAGAAAACATAATACATTAGAAGCAAATGTCGCATAGGCTCAAAATACAAAAATGCTTACCTGTAACTCAGTTCTAACTATCTCTGATGGCCTGCTAGATACATCTCCAGACTTTTTCCTTGTTCGTACCAGGAGTTCTTTTGCCTCTGTCTTATGGTCATATGCCACATGGTTATGATCGTTCTGTGTTTTGACAATAGTCAGACCATCAGAATCCGTGGTGACTCTGGCTTTACACGACTTGATGGTACATCGGTAAGCTCTCTTATTATGTTCCAGGACACTGACCTGTCGATATGTATGGTAATTGATGATCAAAGAATTGACTCTTCGGCTTGTTTCAGTGTGCAATATGCCCATTGTGTCACAACGAAGTTTCCGAACAATATGAACCAAAATTAACTTAAACCTAAATGAACACCGTTTGTATCCAGAGTTTACCAATATACCTTCTAGGTATAGTACATGTACATGTATTTACTCACTCGTGTTAAAATGCAAATGCAAATAGGAGCAAATATAGAATCGGCGCTAGTGATAAAAAAATCAAATAGGCGCTAATGAAAGAATCAAATCGGCGCAAATGAAAGATCGAAAATATTTAAAATCGGCGCAAATGTCATACGCCCATTTTATGATCCCAAAATTTATACTTCATATTCAATTAATTACAGTCTGATAACATAAGATTGCCATTTCCAAGTTTTCTTCGGTTCAAAACATTTTATTGTCTGGCTTCAAGCAAAATTTAAACACAAACAACAAGATTAAGATTGAAATATGATTACCGACTTACTTCTCTAAACGGTTTAAAAAAGCTAAATCTCAAAATACATAAGTGATGATCTTTGACAATTACATTTATCAACAGTAACAAGTGAAAGCAGGCCTTACAAAGTACATCCAACGACAGGTGACGATGAAGGTATCAATATAAATAGTTTAGTGATTTACCGCACTCTTCAACTGTTTCGTGCCGAATACAAAAAAGTTGATATATTTTTTACATTGACCTAATAGTGTTTTTATACTATGTATAGTTATGAAAATGTTAACATAAAAAAACGTATTTTGCATCCTTAAACGAACCCCAAAAAGTGACTCGACAGAAATTTACATTGCACAAAATATCACTTTGTTGCTGTTTTGGCAGATAAAGACAGCATAACTTGTTTTAGCTGCATGATTAAGTAATTTGAAAATACAAAAAAAACTCTAATCCTTTGAACACGTATACATTAAAAAGAAGTTTACTCACATAGTTCATGAAGTGAGAAAAAAAACCTTAATAAAGATACCATGCTTATAATTTTGGTACACCAGACGCGCGTTTCGTCTACACAATATTAATTAGTGGCACTCGAATCAAAACAGTTTAAATATGCAGTTGAAGGTCATTGTAAACCAAAATATTCTGAGAAATTGTACCAAATACGAGTAAGGCTGTCTTTTCCTTCGGCATTTTATAAATCATAAAATTAACTCATGTAAACATTTAAAGTCGTTATAATAGACATATAGACTTTTCGAAATTCCAACACGAGTATACTTATTGCTGGAATCTTTGTCCGGACCTTATAAAGTGTTATTTTCCTGACGATATTGAATATAAACAATCATTGATTTTTTTTATAACTGCTGCTTGAGCCCATTGGTCAGCACTCCTGCAACCTGAAAGCATGGTAGTAACAAAGGATTTCTGTAATATTGCATATCAGTTCGTGGAAGGACAAAATTGGCAATGCTCGTCGTATAAAACGTTGAGTAGCATTTTATTTAACACGATCATGATATGTTTGATCGTTTACAAGACATATAGATTCTACCACCGCATCAAATGTAATTCGATATTTCTCTACTCGAGACAGTTAAATTTACTACTTTAAATCGCGAGGCTCGCGTAGCGTTTTAAATATTTAGAATTCGACTGTTGAGAGAGGGGAAATATTGTTTTGCACGAGATTTGGTGGTAGAAACTATTTCTCTAATGATTTCTAGACGCTATACGGGTAAAATTCATCCTCCTTTTGCAATGATCTGCAAAAACATGTGTTCTTCCGATGTGACGCTTTAGGCATGGTCGCCTTCTTTTTCTCGTCGTCACAATGGGAAATTCAGAAGGACGGACGACATTTGACGTCATTTTTGAATTTGACCAATGGAGAACTGTGATCGAACGAACCAAACATTGATTAAACAAAAATAATTAGCAGGTCACGAAAATATAGATTGGCTAAGAATTAGGGAACATTAGCATAACATTTGATTGTAAATCTAATGTTTTGTGATTGGATGATATCTGTATTATAGTATTAAACACAAATAAATATTTTTAAATGTTTGCGATTTCGAACAGCGGTATACTACTGTTGCCTTTATGTACTTATATATTTACGATAAAAGAGTTAACATAATCATTTTGCAGGTTACTTTCATGATCTGTTAGCATGGGCTTTGTTCACTAACAGAGTAGAGATAGCAGGAGTATTTTGGTCAAAATGCAAAAATCAATTACGTAAGTGATATATGCTTATGAATGAAAGAAAATATTGGATACGGTACCAAATCAAGTCATAATAAAAAAAATATAGCTTTGAGATCAATATACAGGGTCTTCAGAAATACAATATACAAAAAAAAACAATACGTAACACTCTATACCGTCCCCGAGTATAAAAAATGTATCGATGAATTTACAGACTTTATTGAAATACTATCAATATATAAAAATAGTAAAGGAAAACACTGAAATTTAACTGAAGACGACCAGTGATGTTGGATAGGCAGTTTGGTCTTCGCTAAACTTACCTGACTATCGATATATGAAGTAACAAAAAATACATAAACGAACAGTAATTAAAATCAGTGTAGAAAAAAACCTAGTAAATCTATAAGATCACATGTGGAATATAATTCAATTATATGGCTTCACAGTAATACAAATAACTAAAATAAATCAAGAGGTCAATATGCAGTCTTCAATATTAGATAGGTGCTTAAACAACGTCTTAAGCATGTTAAGGGCATACGATACAGTTTTGATCCCATAATGAAATTTTGATGAAAATTTGCAAATAGGCTATTTTTACGTGCTTAAATCAAATATGTAATAAAAAATATACCTTCATGTGCTACTTTTTGAGTAAAATGAGGTCGAAATTTTAGATATTTACTCAAAATTCGGATTTGTGGACGTATTTTTCCTTCCGACAGAAATGCATAACTTTTTTGTTTTAAAAGATAAACACGAGCTGTTTTTTGTTAAATTATTTTGTAATTTCTCTTATATAAGTATCCTATAAGTTTATGAATTTTTTTGTTTGGAAATAACTAAAATTTATCAAATGTTCATGAATGTAGAAAAAAACGTAATTTTTTGCTGTATATTTATCAAATTTTAAAAAATTGCATTATTGACTTTTTCATGAAAATTGGTACAAATAATCTTCATACGTAATCAAACCGAATGTCATTTTAAAAAAGAGGAGTCCATGAACTCGTTTAAAAGTTAAATCAGTCGAAAAATGCATCTTTTCCCGATATGTCACAGTTTGACGTCGCGAAAATAACATTTTACGTTAGCAACGTCATTACCTCCCCTGTAACTGTATCTTATGCCCTTAACCAAAAATGTTATCTATGATATATCAGTATTACGTCGTAAGCTTTGACAAAAAATAATTGCTTTTACTTGTTTTTTTTTTTTTGTACTTTAAGGATATAGACTTAGTTGACATGTAGTTGTTTAAATTTGCTTCATTTATGTTTTGTATTGTTGTCTCATTGGAAGTCATATTAAACGTAAATCTCCTTACTGATAAGGTTTACAAACAAAATTGACTTATCAAAGCACGAACTATCGACTTAATGTGGATTTTTCATTTAAATGAGATTTTCCTTATCTCAAATTTGTAATGATAGCAAAAGCTTTCGAAAAGGGGTAAAGATACCAAGGGTGTAATCAAAACCCATAAGTCGAACAAAAACTAATATCATCACGACCATAGAAAAAAAGACGAAAAGATTCACGAAAAGACAGTCCACACTACACTTCATAGAACATTAGAGATCGACCAATAAGAACTCTACAAAAACTAGTTTGAAGTGCTGAAAAAGGGTAAGCAAATCCATAATCACTAGTCTGGTGCTCATAGGAAACAAATATTTGGTGATAAGTTACATTCGAATATTCCGCGACCGTGACAAAAAAGAGGACTATGACAGGTGGATATTGACATGGATGACTGAAACACTTATATTCTATAACGGTATACCAAATTATGATTGCATCTCTAAAGAATGAAAAGTATACCAGTAACATTTTACATATATATTTATATGAAATTAAACTAGAATTGTAACTAGATGTTCTCTATCGACAAGAAGTTGAAAAAATGAAACGATCATAGACTATCATTACTGGTAAAAGGAAATACATTTTAATTTTAAACGTACAAAAATAAGGTATACAAAAAAAGAGCTGGTCAAAGGTGCAACCACCATTTAATAAGGGAAAATACCAAAATGGTGAAAAACACATACTAAAATGATAAAGAAATTAAGGCCCAATATTTCAACATTTAAGACCATTTTCAGTGGTTGATGAACAAAAAATAAACACACCACTATTTGAAATGCACTGGTCACACTTTCCTTGCAGATCATTTTGTGTACAAAAGATATATCTTATGTATTATTGTCATTTTGTTTATTTTCTTTGGTTACATCTTCTGACATCAGACTCGGACTTCTCTTGAACTGAATTTTAATGTGCGTATTGTTATGCGTTTACTTTTCTACATTGGCTAGATGTATAGGGGGAGGGTTGAGATCTCATAAACATGTTTAACCCCGCCGCATTTTTGCGCCTGTCCCAAGTCAGGAGCCTCTAGCCTTTGTTAGTCTTGTATTATTTTTAATTTTAGTTTCTTGTGTACAATTTGGAGTTTAGTATGGCGTTCATTATCACTGAACTAGTATATATATTTGTTTAGGGGCCAGCTGAAGGACGCCTCCGGGTGCGGGAATTTCTCGCTGCATTGAAGACCTGTTGGTGACCTTCTGCTGTTGTCTGTTCTATGGCTGGGTTGTTGTCTCTTTGACACATTCCCCATTTCCATTCTCAATTTTATCGTTGTTCAAATAAATTGTCGCGTAAATTAATACATCTGACCGTTTAACACAGAATGGCATAAGGGAACTCTGGAAACCACTACATATTGGTTTTTAAAATTGAGGTTTAAGGTTTTAAATGAATGTATTTTGAAGCTTAAATGGTTCCGAAAGATACGTGGTTTTTTCATTTGTTGTTATTGACTTTGAACAAGCTTTCAGATAACAGCAGATACTCTAACTACTTTGTGTCAATCTGACGAGTCAAGCATTTTTTCAACTGATTTTTATTTTAGTTTCCTACTTGTTTGTGCTATTATATCACTCTCCTATGTTAGCGAGAGGGTTAGGCGCAACCAAACATGTTGAACCCCACCACATTCTGTATCCTGCCTTTACCTCAGTTGTTATCGTATGTTGGTTTTGTTCTTTACATAAGTCAGACTGTTAGTTTTATCGTTTGCATTGTTTATATTTTCATGTCGGGGCCTTTAATAGCTTATCATGCGGTATGGTATGGATCATTACAGGATATAATATATTATTTAATGGCATTACAGTTACAGCAGTTATGGCTAGTAGTATGCTGAAAATATGGCAAATAATGCAACATCAGCGAAGGACAGACAGCTTTACCAAGAACTTCTAAGCCATTCAAGGTTGTTGTAATGTTTTTTTTAATGTATGACGACAAAATTAACCTTAATTTATATTTTCCTCTATGTCTGGAAATGCTATTCAAAGATTCATATAAATAATCATGTTATAGTCATTTTGTTTGAATTTGAAACACTGTAAAAAATTATGAACTTAAACACTGTCTTGTTCACTCCTTCTGTCTTTAATTTTTAGTGTGTTGCATGTTATCTAAATACGGATTGCCAGCACCTTAAGGACTACTTTTCGTAAAACAACAAATATAGACAAGCAAAAAAGAATACACAATTTTAAGAATAAAACAGTGATACAACGCACTATCAAGAGTTAATTCATTTAAGCAAACTTCTAAACAGCCAATCAGTGCTTCCACTTTTGAAATAAAAATCCATACAGTGTTTAATGATCTCATTTTGCGTATCAATTGTCAATTTATCAATGCTACATATACATGTGTATATTCAAATTTGACTGAGGAAATATAGGCCTGCGTAATTTTTGGCACGTGATAATTCTAATATCATTAAAGTATTGATAATAGTTGACGAGAAAAGAAGATAATAAGAGCAAAGTTGCTCTCGATTGTAATCATGTTTGCTCTTCTAAAAAGTAGATGGTCTCATTATGATAAATAAGCGTATATTTTGTTATTTTGCAAGTCGAGAATTTCTTATTTCTTTAAATTGAAAAAAAGAATGCAACAATGTATTTGCTTTCGCTTTTTATAGTAGATATCATAAGCTTTTCTATTGCTGTGTTTTATTTTATTTTTTATCTTGTTTGCACTATAAACTAAATATGATGCACGTCTTTAAAGATTTTCAAGAAATCAGACGAAAACAATTTGTCCTATTGTCATCAATATATAAACACAATTACAAAAGAGGTCTTATCATAATTTTATACAATGCTTCAAAACGAGAATCTCTTCAAATGTATCATACTATCTAAATACCTATATCGAATTTTTTTTGTAATCTAAAACATTCGATGACAAGTATTTGAAATTGGTTCGAAACAGAATAGAAAAGGTGGACAAGGCCTCCCATTCTTCCTGATTCTAAGCCTTGTTTATATATCTATGTTTTTATTATTATTTTAATACAATATAGTCACCCTGTATAATCGCCTAATCGCCTGACAGTTCTTGACGTTTAGCGTTCTGAAGCAATTAACAACAAGCTGAGATGAGTCAATATATTATATTGTACACGCTGCATACATGTTAAATAATAAATATAAGTCTTCAATTTAGACTTTGAAATTACCATTAAACTCGTGTTGTAGTTACGGTTTTAAAATGTAGGTATATTTACAAATCAAAATCACGAATTTCTAATCAAATGCTTTAAATATGCAATCAGATAACTCTAAATAAAAACTCGTATACGTACTGCAATCCCACATGTTCATTGTATTGTTTTTGCTATGAATTCTTTTCTCTGAAGTAACCACCTTTATAGAATTAAATACTGTGCCGTACGTCGATATTTTTTTTCTTTTCATCTGTTGCGAGTTTTTTGTATGACATTTTACCAATTGTTGTCAAAATTATCATTAATGGTCTATCTATATCACGACAATGCAAAGAGGTTTGGTGTGTTTCCTTTTATTGTGGTGAGGATTCGGAAAGACGCGGGAGTAGTTACCCCTTTAACGTTCGGTTAACATTTGTTAACGTTTTTTCCGTAAACATCTTAAGTGCTTTGCTAATTTTTGATTAAAGAATTTGTAAAATACATATTTGACCAGGAAAATCATTTTCAAAGATCTATAAAAATCAAACAAAACTATAAAGACAACAAACCTAACTGTAATGAAATTCAGATGCCAGTTTTTAAACACAAATGAGATGCTACTACGAGCTTGTGCTTCGTTGTTACTATTTGAAAGAAACAATGTATGTCAACATCGAGAAATAACGACTCTGTGTAAAACATACATGATCAACATTAAAAAAACATCTCACAAAACATGTTTAACCCCGCCGCATTTTTGCGCCTGTCCCAAGTAAGGAGCCTCTGGCCTTTGTTAGTCTTGTATGTTTTTTAATTTGAGTTCATTTATATGTTTTTGGAGTTTAGTGTGACGTCCATTTTTAGTGAGGACCACCTCCGGGTGCGGGATTTTCTCGCTGCGTTGATGACCCATTGGTGGCCTTCGGCTGTTGTCTGCTCTTTGGTCGGGTTGTTGTCTCTTTGACATATTCCCCATTTCCATTCTCAATTTTATATATTATACACTTATCTTTTTGATTAAAAGTAATTTGAACCTGTATATATCAACCATGCTGCGATACGCAACAACGTCTAGAGTCAACTATTCGATGGTAGTTTTATTCTAAAGTTCACTCAAATCTTTTAAATATATACCTGTTACGATAAAATAAAAAAGGATATTTTTATAAGAAGGGAGTCGTTATCCAATAATGTCAAATGGATATCCCTGTTTTAATTCAAATGACAATATCATGAATACTGGAGGAGCTTATAACTAAATACAACCTAAAAGCATAGACAAATCCCCATACGGCCATCTTTGCGGGAGGATGTTGTACCGTAGTTTCTTGTCAATCTTTGAATTTTCAAACGGAGAATTGATAAAAAAAAAGTATGTAATAAATCATGTCGGTATCAAGTCACTGACTACTGAGCTCATGATACCGTAGTGGACAAGCATGCAGTCAATCAGCAACGGTGTCGACCAAGTGCTAGAAAATGAAAATAACACTTCATAAATTTGATGCGTCCAAAGCGCTTAGCTTCGTTATGGCTTTTGAAATATCATATAAAAATACCGATTTCGATAATTTGCTTTGAAATCACCGAGATGCGGCTACTTACATCATTTGTTTTGTCTATCTTCAAATTCTATCACTTAGAGAATGCATTGCCTATACGGTTGATTTTTTATTTGTTAACATTACTGAATGGAATCAAATGAAACGTAAATCTTCAAGACAGAATTTAAAAGGATACAATTATTAGAAGTCAATTTGAAAATATAAAACGCAAAATTGTAAAATTAATGATTGTTATCTTTAATTGTCTAGTAGCACGGTTTATATCTTGAGATGTGTATATTTTCTAAACTCTAGTAAAGTTGAAATAAAAACAAACTGAGTATCAGTCAAGTTGTATAGCAAAGCAGGTTAGGTGTTATAATCTAAAATCTTATGTGGAATGCATACTAATACTTACATCACGCTTTTCAAATAAATATGAGGAGTAGTTTAAAAAAAATGTATATCGTTTATTTCATGACAATCGCTCCATATGCAAACAATTGAACAGTATACTGATAAATTTGTATTTGCTTACAAAGATATAAAAAAAAAGTTTGTAATTTTTCTTCAATCGTCTTGGACCCGGGAAAACTTCAATTCATACTTAATCTAATATTAACCTTCTTTATGAAAATCGGTTTAGTGTGGCGAAATGTTTACTCTTGTGGGTGTGTCAATAATAACATAGACGGTACAATCTGTTTTGCACCAGATGTGTGTTTTGAAGTTAATGTTGCTTCAGTAATGCACGGACAAAAATATTTTAAATTCAAAAACCGAAAACAAACGCTAATAAACCCACGAGACCGGAAATAGAACCAAATCCGGACAAGGAATCAGAGCTTTCCATGAGGTGGATATAACCTTGATCTAACTTACTTCCAAAATTTTATAACAGCAAATATAAGTCAAACAAAAACCTTTTGTTCTTGTCAGTATCAAAGTCTTGGCTTCTGGGATAGTGATGCCCTCGAGGATTAATTGGCCACCAGCAAAGGTATCGACATCTGATGTACGAAATATAACAATGCTTGAAATTATAATTGTGGCTTAAAGAAAAAGTGATTTTGTATTTAAGGAAAAATAGTTTAATGATATTTCCGTCCTTACAGTTTAAGCAATGAAATAAATGACACGTCATGTGTCTTATTCTTATTCTCTTCTTTAGGTTGTTTGAAGAGAGAGTGGTTCATATGCAGAGCTCATTGTATGAGGAAAGTGAATATGATGCTATGTCGCTTATGGAAAAACAAGATGAAGTTTGGGGAATCCCTGTTTCTCCAATGATATGTGCACATGAACACAATATGATAGATGTTATAGGCCATCCATGCATTCAACGACATCTAAACAGAATATGGTACAATGAACAAATATTTTTCCCTATCGGTACCTCTGAAGCAGCAGCAAAGTTTAGGGACTGCTGTAGGGTAAGACAATTTGGTTGATAATCGCACATTGATTCTAGTATTTTGTAAGTGGTATGGTTGTCTTCTCCCTTATTGGATTGTAAAATAGCAGATTACTAGTACAACAGGTCTAGAATGTTAACAAGGTCAGCAAATTTCGATGAAGGAATACAACATTAAAATTATATTTTAAAAGAACAAATTAATGTGATCTTTGATAATTATTACTCATATTTTTACAAAAGTAGAAAATGTTGCTTGATTTTGATTATTTTTAATGTGCATAGGGGAGGTAATTCGGAAAAAGCATAATTTATAAATGAATCTTCCGGAAATTGTTCTATTTTTTATGTTAAAGCAAGAAAACACGTAGGGTGACCCCATTTTTTCTTTTTATATTCTGAAAGCATTAAATAAGAGCTATCTTCTCATACTTTATTTCAAAATTCTATCATTTAGTTTACCTACTATTTACATTATGATGATTTTTTTTCTGTATAATCCGTACAAAATATGTCACTTTTGTAGCTTGAAAACAATCTCGGTGGCCTATCATTTGACTTATTTAATAAGAAAAGTCAAAATTTTAAACTATACTTGAATTGATACGCAAAGAAGAAAAACATGTTTTAGAGTATTATTTTCATCATGTTTGCCTTCATATCGTCATTATAGATATACATATCATTATTATATTGATGGAGAATTTCAAATTTACTAATTGAATCTTTCTTTTTTCAGAATGCATGTTGCTGTAATGGGTGTACCCGAAGGATCCAGGCATGGTTTTCCCCATTGATGAAGTTTGTATTTCATTATGTAAGATAACGTATCAAATATCCTTACTCATAATTTTGATTTGAGTTCTTAAACAATTGTTTTCTATCCTTTAGTTAGATGTAAGCTTTGAATTGAACTTCTGAACGTTCGTATTGCAAGTCCACATAAAAGACCTGTCTCACAACTCGGACATATTAGTCTTGCTGCGAGTTAATCAGTCTATGCTATTACTCTTAATTGTAAATTCCATAGCACAGAAGCAACGAGTACCATTTTTAAGTCATTCCTTAGACCCGGCCGGGATGTAACTTATGACATTTTGCAATCAAAAATGAAACATATCCATGGCATAAATATATAATCAAACAAACAAGTTAATTGTAACTAAAGGTCACATCTCCAACCTGTTCACCTTTTGCAAATTTATGCATCGTATAAATGTATTCGTCAATTTCGATGTAACAAACATTGTACCTTGGATCTTAGTTATATTAGAATAGTGGCCAACAAATACCTTAGAAATTATCTAACTCTTTTTTGAATGTTTTTGAAGTTCTAAATAGAAATGTTCTGAATGTGCACTTACTATAACACTTTAGATATTGATTGACAGGCGTTTTGAATTTTAAGGAAATGACCAGTTTGCATGATTGATTTGTCTATTATTGTAAGTTTCCTTTTTTGTCATATAACTACTCCCGTATTTAAGTACATTATTGCCTCTACTTTAAGATGCAGCGTTCCTTATGACATTAAATCCAGAAAAGTGTTACATATGCACCAAATTTTTATTTTCATTTTCTAACACCTGGTTGTTACCGCTGCTAGAAATCTGCTAGTCCCAGAGGATATCATCGGCCCTGTAGTCCGTTTTGCGGTATTGACATAATTTATAACATACTTTTCTTTGATTGTTATTAAATTTAGATTTTTGTTTCAAGAAATAAAGTTTCCATCTCCATCAGCAAAGTTGACCGAAAATGGATTGGGTGTTAAATCTAAGTCCCTTTTGTTATATAGCTTTTTGCGTTTTAAAGCACTTGATTTTTATGGTGTTACGTGTTTGAGCGTTTTTTGTGAAGATAAATCCGAACGCACAAACTTTATAATTTATAATTTACATTTTCCAATGCACTAGATAATACATAATATCACTTAAAGAATTCTCATTGTTTATTTTATGCTAATTTTCTTTTTGATTTACTTACCGTTGTAAAATTTCCTGAATTCAGAGAAAACATTTACAGTTCTATTCTTACTGTTACCAGTACTAGACCCTTTATTATTTTTTTTATATTTTCGACCTTAAACTAGTATTCGGTTGTGATTATTGCTTTAATTTTCCATGTTATGTAAATAACCTTTATTGCTATTGCGGGCATTTCGTTTCCATTTTCTAATATTCCTATGCTATTATCCAATTTTTCTTATAATTTCAAAATATGTTACAATGTGAAAAACTCCTTGCCCATGAATGCGTTGACAAATTTGAATGGACATTTGTTTTTTTGGGTTTTTTTTAGGTTTTTTTTCTCTATTACTTTGTTAGACGTATATGACAAATCTGTTTGGAACAAAACACTCCTTTTAAATATTCTATAGAATTAATATTCCCCCTAAAATGAAATTTATTTAGAAGTTTTAAGACGTTTTTCTATATGACACAAAATAAAACAAAACTGTAAGACGTTTACTCAAATTCCAATTAATTTACGCCTGTACCTAGCCAATGAAACGTAAATAGAAAGACATAAATTCGAACTATGGAGGAACGGAAAATAAATTCGCTTGCATTGAAATTCTCTATGAAAAAAAACGATAGATTATTTAGGAGGAAGAAAGAGAATAAAGGAGAAATAGTGGTTTTGATTTTCGCAGTCGGCTTTTAATTTCTGTTCTTTTCCCGATGTTCGCTGTCGATATTAAATGAACTCTTACATTTCTACACACACGTATAAATAAATGACGGCGAACAGAAAATGATTACATTGAATGTGAATAAAGTGAATTGCTTATTAAAAACACGTTTTTTTTATATTTTGTAGATTTTTCTGATGGCATTAATTATAGGGTTCAGTGCTTTTCTTCTGACTGACCTAAACATAATATCAGATATCAGTGACATTGGAATTTATGAATGGCTACTTTATTTGTGGCTATTTGCAGACGCTCTCGAGGAGTTTTGGTTTCCGGTGAGTATAAAGAGTATGAAGTCTTCCAATGACATTTCAACTCTTCTGTTATCTAGCTAAACACCACCACTGTGTTCAGTGATTTGAATTACCATAACCCTGCAAACTCCATTTTGAGGTTGATAAATAAGGGACGAAAGTTACCAGAGGGACAGTCAAACTGTAATAAGAAGCAGACTGTCTGTCTGACTAACTTTGTAGTATAAATTATCATGATATGTTAACATCTCCACGCGAAGGATTGCTTTTGTTTTTTGTAAGTTTTTCCTGAATTGTGCTTCTTTCGCCTTTAATATGTGTCCCCTTTTCAGAACTGTCACTTTGAGCGTTAAAAATGTTGACTATCCCGTCACAGTTTATCATACCTACATGGAAGTTGATACATTGTTACATTCTTATATGCAGATATGAAAGCGGATATGATATTCCAGTCCATCGATCGTTTCTAGAGTAATGTCTATTGAACCGTTCAGCATCAGGTTTTCATCGCAACTCCACAAAGATGTTTCATTATATCTATGTGAAACTTAGTATATAGTTTGATCTTAATATGCAAATATGCATGTATGTAAGATATACATGCATCTGAGACAACATCAAACAAAACACTTGATAAAAGTCCAAATTGAAGTGATAAACTTCCTTGATTCACTGTATTTCAGTCACTGGTACACTCAAACTTTTATCTAGGACAGGAGAGGGGTTGCACACATTATTCCAGTAAAGCTGAAAGTTCTAGTGATATCTGATGTTTATTATTCGAGTTGCAATCTGCATACAATGCATTTGTATCAAAACATTCGGATGACTTGTTAAAGGAGTTATTACCCTTTAACGACAATTTTGTTCATTTTTCTTTATGTTGGCCTATTCATTAAAATAATAATAAATAGAGTGGTCACTTTCGATAGCAAAAATGATTAGCAAGACATGATACATAAATAAGTCAATTGCCGAAATTGTCAGTGGACTCTTTATAGAATTTATTGCCCTTAAATGACGATTTTTTTGAAAGCTATCATAGATCTATGGTTTTTACAAAAGCATATATGGTCAGCAGGGCAAGACCTGTAATTATTTTATATGACCAAAATTATCAGTCAAATCCTTATAGGAGTTAATGTCTTTAATCATTACCTATGTTTGCATTTTTAGAGACATCTTTGGTAGATAAAAAATGACTGAAAACAGCAACAGTGATTAGCAAGACCTACAAATACCTTTACGTAGACAAATTAACATATATTTTTTTTAATCTTTATTAATCATATTTGTTTGCTATTAGATCAAAACGATGTTGTTATTTCTCGAATAACATCGGACAATTTTTTTTGCGGTTATATTTCCTTAGTGCATAAGGTTGAATTCAAAAATCACAAACTTTATTTAATACAAATTATAAATCTATTCATTGCCATCCTTTAGAGATGATCATAAATAATTGTCTATAAGATATCAATATTTATATTTTTGAATTCAGTCCTACTTGTTTGCTGTTGATCTCAACTTCAAAAACTGCCAGTATAGGCTCATTTTTAATTCAAATGTGATAACGTTTTAAATATGAACAACATACTCTTACAACAGAATAGTCAACGACTCATCATCTGACACAAATAGGACGATATAGATAGTATCGATAAAATATTTCTACGGTAAAGGCAATTGCTCATATTTTAATTGCAAAACATTATGTGAAAGTTTGCATGCTAGATCAGATATGTCAATTTCATCAGCATAAGTTACATTTCTGCACCAAAATGCCCGGAATATACAATACAATTCAGCAATCAATACCTTGTGAAGTATTAATATCGGTAGGTGCTTCCCTAGTCTTCGCAAGCGTCTGGTATCATTATTTCATGGGATCCAATTTGGCTTTTCTCTTGGTTGGTAAACATTTATTTCAAATGAATATACGAACTTATTGCATCAG